CATCTTAAAAGTGCTTTCTGTCAACTATTTTTGTTCCTACACTTGAAAACAGCCTGAAATAGTTTTGCTCATAAAATGTATAGGATATAAGCCTTTCCTGCAAAGAATTAAACTCCCAAATAAGATTTATTTTTATGGAACTGTCAGCCAAGAGACTCACTTGCTTGATTCTTAAGTAGCTAGTTGCAGCCTCCTACAGGTTCCTAAATAGAGCCCAAATGCTCAGTAAATCCAAAAACTGTATCTACTGTCCACATTTCAGATAGCATGAATCTGAAATTTATATCTTGTCCACCTCTCCTATATCTCAAAAATTCAAAGAAACAAATTAGCATTCTCTGTCCTCTGAAGGTACTTCAAAATGTTCATGGGAAAATGCAATGAAAACAGGTTTTTAGGCAAGCATTTAGCTAAGTCTATAGGGAAGATTTCATATGAAAATCACACCTACTGATTGTTACACATAGAGTACTCTTCAAAATGTGTCCAAACAAAGCTACTCCTTTATAGCAATTGGTAAATTGGTGAGACTGTGAGGAGGTGTACAAATGCAATTTGATTCCTATAATGAATATTGATCCCCTATCCAGTTTTGGGACTCATTGTTGATATCTGAGAATGTCCTTATCTGTTCTAGTCTCCTAAATTTGAATTCCAGTTCTCTGCAATGCTCGATATAGTGGGTTGTGTTTAACTTGTTGCTTCTCATTCTTCCCCCCATCCTCCCCCCACCAAACTATTAAGTTCCTAGACAAGTCCCAAGGAAAGATGTCTTGTCTCATTTTAATTAATCTGGTTAGTGAGCATTTGAGAATTAATACATTTTAGTTTAGCTCAGTGGTTTTTAAAGTTGAGGGCAGAAGTAAGATCACTTCCTCTTTTGAAATTGAGACTGAAATTAAACTATCTCCTAAGAAAAATGCACATAAACATTAGTTTTCATGTTCTTTCTTGTTCTGCGTGTTTTGTTATGGCCTTCACTTAGAGAAGTCAGGTTGGCTGCTGCTGTCAGCACCACCTTCACATACGCACATACACAAGTAACAGATTTTGATGTTACTGTCAAATGTGCCATGTATCATGCCCAATTTTCAGTTAAACCTTCTGGCTTCCAACAACCTAGTGGACCCTTTTCCCTGTTCATTTCCTAAATTTTAAATTTGTTCCATAAATTCAGGTGCTGCATTTTCTTGTAAAATATCAAGGTTTTGATACAATATGCGTTTTATTCCATACTGTACAGACAATGCTGTTGAGCCATTACCTCCTCTAAAAATGAATTTGTTCTAATCTACAGTGGTAGATCTAGATTCCAAAAGCATGTAATTCTGAGATTGTTTTTGATGGTTTAGGTTATAGATTTGTGTGTGTTTGTAAAGCTAACTAATCCATAAGGAGATAAATCTCTTGCATGACCTTGGCCTCATTGCTACCCTGCTACAGTCAACTGAACCAACCGCACTAGGCAGATGTCTCATTAGAGTGTCTCACAGATTGCTTCTAATAATATGGTAACATACCTTTCTGCATTTTTTAAAACTAGTTCTGGGTAGTTTCATCCTCAGTTCCACCAGCTTAGCTGAACCTTAAACTTTCTCCTTCCTTATTAAACAAGTGGCTTCTGCACCTGTTTTAAGCAGACACCTCCACCATGGATTGCATTCCCTCTGGCCTTTTCAGAGGCTTTAGTCTTCTATTATCCTTAGTGTCTTATCTCACCAGAGACTCTTGAGACTTGCTCCTTTCCATTAGTACGTAATTTGCCTTAGTATCTGTCACCTACCTTAAGAAAACAAAATGTAAATTAAATCCATTTTTAGCTGGCCTTTACTGTTGTATTTTTCCCCACTATGTCATATCCCTAGCGAAATTTACTGTACCGCCTCCCTTTATTCATTCCCCTTCTGTTTAGCTTTTTAGGTGGATTTTCTTCCATATTACTTTCCTGGAAGATTTCTTATGAGGTCATCAGCTTCTGAATAGAGACAGAATGTGGTCTAATTTCTCTCTCTCTCTCTCTCTCTGTCCACCTCCCTGCTTCTCCCCCCCCCCCCCCCCCCCCCCCATGATCTATTTGAAAGGAAGAGTTAGAGAAAGTAAGGTCTTTCAACTGCTGATGTTGTTACAAGAGCTAGAGTTTGGGCATGCCAAAAACAGGAGCTTCTTGCAGGGCTCCCAAGTGAATGCAGGGGCCCAAAGACTCAGGTCTTCCTTTGCTGCTTTCCCAGGCACATTAGCACGGAGCTGGCTCAAAAGTGGGGCAGCAAGGACTTGCACTGATGTCCATGTGGGATGTCCTTGTGCTTCAAATGGCAGATCTACCTGCTATATAACAGTACCAGCTCCTGTCTTCATCTGAAACAACCTGTAGCCAAGCCCCATAATCATTTCACAAAATCGTTTATTCCTAGGCTTTTGCAGTACTATGCGATCATGTTTTATTTTTCCCTCCTTTCTTCCTGGTTCTTCTCAGTTGCTTTGGCTTCTTTTCCTTCTCATATCATCACAATGCTCTCAGGTTCTACACTGCTCTCTCCTTGTTTGGGAGCTAGCTTTCCTGAAATTTCCATTGGATGCATGGCTACAGACTGATCTGTGTGGGTCGGTGACCCTGTGGCTCACACTTCTCCCTGATTTCTGAGTGTGGAGATGTCATCTCTGCTTGTTTTGCTTAATTTGTTTTTCCCCTTTCCACCGAATTCTGCCATTCCTTAGGCCTGCCCTGTCTTGGTAAATGACTCTATCATCCACCCACTCAAGTGCTTCAACCAAAAGAAAATAGAAGTCTAGATATCATTCTTTATTCTTCCCTTTCATCTCACATCCAGCCTTTCAGCAGATTGTCTGATCTGCTTCCAAGATACCTGGCAAATCCAGTTACTCCTCTCTCTGCCTCCACTTCTAAAAGTCAATTCAAGCAACAGTTTCTCACTGGTTTCTCCCACCCCCTCGCTCTTCAGTTTGTCCTTTGCATAGCAGTCTAAGTTACTGAAAATGCATATTAGTGGTTTCTTTCACACTGAAGTGGGTGTCAGTCTCCTCTCAGGGTCCGCTGTGATGTTGCCTTTGGCTGCTCTCCCCATCTCAATCCTGTTTTCTTTCCCTCCTGGGTCACTAGGCTGTACCCACAGTCACTTTGTTTGTATCGCTTGGATTCTGCAGCCTTACTTTGCTCTTTGTATTAGCTTTTGAGCTACTGGCAGTGTTCTGATCTAAAATCTCTTCATGCCTGTTCATCATTCAGATTAAGTCAAACATTAGCTCTCTGGAAAGACTAATGTAACTCACTGAGGGAATCTTCATTGCCCTTTTTTGTGTCTATAATTACTTTAATTGTCTATTTGTCTCCCTCTTGTGTAATATAAGGTTGTTGCATGTAAGACTCATGTTGTTCACAATAAATTATCAGCACAGAGAACATTCTCTCAAAGTAGTAATGTCCCATATGTATTTGGGGCAACAGATTATTGCTACAACATTTTTAGCTTTATTTTACTTAGGGTATATAAGTTTATTATTAGAACTTGCCCTCCGCCAATGGAGTAAAAAGCTTTAGTGTTCGTTTTTTAACTTACCTTCCCTATTCAGTTGCTTAGTAACATTACCTACTCCTTAATTTTATTTGCATACTGTATACCTTTTGCTGCATTCCTCCAAAATAGTGTTGAAATTAAGTTACATCACCAAGTGTTAGTGCTCCACCAGTCCTCCCAATATTACATAACTTATGTAAGATTTCAGTGGATGAACTAGAATCTAAATCTTCTAATTCCTAAACAAGATAGCTTTGTTGATGTGGGGGTCCTAGCTATGTGCTTATGGTAGAAGAAATATAATCTTTAGAAACCTTTACTTTTTTTTTTAATTCTCAAAAATACCTTCAAGGTAACACTTTTATGTTAAAGCCCCCAAAACAGCCGTCAAAGTGCTTAAAATATTGACTCCAATTATATCCAGTAAAAATTAAGATCTGACCAGTTGTTTTTGTATTTTGTATAGCTCAGAGAGGTAATAAATCTTCTTTTCTCTTTGTGGCTATTTAAGGGCATTAAAACAGGGGACTGCTGGAGTGGGCTGCTGCTAACAATCAAGTTTAGCTTGAGTTTAATATGGCAAATATGGCAAATTCAAAGTAGTATATGTTGGCAGCTTTGCCCCCTCAGCATTCTTAAACTGAGGGCAAATGTCATTTGTACTGCTACGTTGCTATGTCCCATAGTATGCACCTGTATACACACATTGCATTAGCTGGCTCGAATATACCTGGATTTGGCAAAAGCAGTGAGATAAATTTAGTGGGGACTTTGCTTGATAAGATGGAAGGAAAACAAAATGAATATTCCAGTCATGTTAACCTGCCTGCCTCTTCAGTGTTCCAATTCCACACCCCAGGCGGTAAGTATTATGACAGGAGATGTAGTTAGCACTGCCTGTTTTCTGGAAAAACAAAAACAAAAAATCAAACTCATAAGATTTCTGTTTTGTGACTCGCCATGTGTCTGTTAGTCTTGATTATAACAAACATTTTACTATAGTTGCTTCTAAGAGCATGAGATAGATTAACTTTATTGTTCCTCAGTAAAGATGAAAATCAGCTAAATCAAATCTATTTAAACTTCCTGGTGTTGGCATGGAAAACTAAGTAAAGGTCATAGAAATGTTTAAGTCTGATGTAAAAACAATCCATCAACTGCATTGATTCTCTTCTCCAGCAGTTTCCAAGATGGTGTAAGCTAGTATGATTGAAAAAAAAAATTAACAGCTGGCACAGTGAAAATTCTTAATCTAGTCATCTACTCAAAATGTTCTTTTAAAAGCACTGCACGTGTTTTTCAGTGATTTAAATTCTGTACACTTAGTTTAAAAAAAGAAAATGCAGACATTTTCATAGGGTCTTCTGATTGTAATCTAAGTGTGACAAATAAATATTTTGAATAAACCAGCTATTTCCACTTATTAGGTAGTATAACAGCTCACTGAAATTTGTTTCTTTTTATTAGGTTTAAGTGGAAACCTTGCAGATTTGGAAAGAAGAGAAGCAGTGTTCGGAAAGAACTTTATACCTCCTAAAAAGCCAAAAACCTTTCTTCAGTTAGTGTGGGAAGCATTACAAGATGTCACTTTAATTATATTAGAAATCGCAGCCATAGTATCATTGGGCCTTTCTTTTTATCAACCTCCAGAAGGGGATAATGCACGTAAGTAATGAAAAAACAAAAACTTGTGTGTGTGTCTGTGTGTCTGTGTGTGTTTGGCTCATTCATTTACTAAGACATAGTCCAGCCTAGGTTTTTAACTGTTTGCTATGCGCTAAGCATTGCTCTAAGTGCGTTAAGCATATTAACTTAGAAACCTTTTACACAGTTCTGTGAGTTAGATAAAAGACTTCTATTCTGTCCATATATGCATACCATGTGTGGGACACTGACCTGAGCCATGTGTATCACGTAGTCTTGTTCTGTTACGGTTTTTCAATATTCTAGTACATGGTTTTACTGAGAAATAATTCCAGCTTCTGATTTTTTTTTCCTGGAAAATATTACAAAGGCAAATTTTTGTTCTCTTCCCAAATGTATCACTTTCTTTATTCTTATAACATTTTCCTCTATGTGCCATTCAGGTCATTTTCATACCATTACAGAAAAAAACAGTTTTTAAAGACTTCCTTATTTTTGTTGGAAAGAAAGATCTTCCATCTGCTAGTTCTCTTCCAAAGTGACCGCAATGGCCAGAGCTGAGAGGAGTTTCGTCCAGGACTCCCATGTGGGTGCAGGGTCCCAAGGCTTTGGGTCATTTTCTGCTGCTTTCCCAGGCCACAAAGCAGAGAGCTAGTTGGGAAATGGAGCTGCCAGAACACAACCATATGAGATCCTAGCATTCAAAGGGCAAGAATTAATGAATTTATCCATTGCATCAGGCCCTACAGAAAAATTTATAATGTGGTTTTGTTGAAGAAATGCTACACATGAGATTGTTATATTACAGAATTTTATGGTTATGGCTTCATTCTGGTGCTCCAAACATTGGAGAATTTTAGATTTAAAATTTTGAATTAGGACTGCTGAAGAAGTAAAGTATTGTGGATAATATGTAAATAATCCTGACCAGTGAAGAAACATGTCTCTAATTCAATGAGTAAGTCCTCTTTAATAATTTGTAGCTATAAATAATTTTGTTTTTCTGCTGGTTTTCTGTACCTTGATCTGAAAATTTTTTTCTCCTATTAAAAAAATTAATATCTTAGCCTGGAGGCTTGGCCTAGCGGCTAAAGTCCTCGCCTTGAACACACCGGGATCCCATATGGGTGCAGGTTCTAATCCCGGCAGCTCCACTTCCCATCCAGCTCCCTGCTTGTGACCTGGGAAAGCAGTAGAGGATAGCCCAGTCTTGGGCCCCTGCACCCTTGTGGGATACCCGGAAGAAGTTCCTGGATCCTGGCTTCGGATCGGCATAGCATCGGGCGTTGGCGCTCACTTGGGGAGTGAATCATCGGATGGAAGATCTTCCTCTCTGTCTCTCCTCTTCTCTGTATATCTGACTTTCCAATAAAATAAATAAATCTTAAAAAAAAAAAATTAGTATCTTGACACAATACATTCGATCATTGCTGTTCAATATATTCTCAGTTTTCATTGACTGTATTTAAATAGCTGTAAAGTGAATCAGTAGTATTTTATGTACCAAAAGACTGATCGACCAGAATACTGTTTTTGCAAACCTCATTTTACGCCCTTCAAGATATGAAAAATTCAGGAAATACTAACTAGAAATTAGCATAGGTAGTTGTACAGTTGTTTTTGTGCTGTGGTAAGGGCTCATATGAGAATTTTTTTTAAAGGACATTGATTGCAAGGTAAGCCAGCTAATCTGAGATCAGTGTAGATCTCAGTTTTTTAGAGGAAACTTTTGGAGCCAGAAATTATTTTGTTTCCATGTTCATTGTGGCAGCTCTGAATTAATGTAATCCAGACTGTCTTCATATTTTGTCAAGTGTGTCATGTGAAGGGAAACTGTGCTTAGTTGAGAATCACTGATGCCAGTAAGAAGGGATTTTAGTCTACATTCTTGTCAGTATTGACCTAGATATTTATTTTTATAGAATTTATTTAGAAAGCATTGCCAAGTGGGAGAAATTTTCCAATTGCTGGTTCAGTGCCCAGATGGGTGGTTTGGGCCAGGAGCTAGGAGCTTCGTTTGGGTCTCCCGAGTTGTGGGCAGTGGTCCCAACACTTGGGACTTTTTTTTCCAGGCCATTAGCAAGAGCTAGAGTTAGTAGAACAGTTGATACAAACCAGCGTCTATATTGCGTGCTGGTGTCACAGGCAGCTGCTTTACCCACTACACCATAGTGGCAGCCCCAAGCCAAATTATTTTTAAAACTTATGTTTTTTCAATTATGATAGTATACATTTTGCTCTCACTCACATAATTAAAGGAAGAAGCAAAGGCAAAGGAAATGGTATTTGTTGAGAATTGTATTTTAACAGATTCCTACTACACCTTTATTTTTTTTTTTCTCCAGCTTTAAAGTCACATTCTGTGTCTGTGGTGTCTGTCCGTGTTCCTGTTTATGGACATGAGCACGGTGGAGGATGGACAGAGGTGGATGTCTGTGTTTATGTGAAAGGGGATACTGTATTTACATGTTTAGCAATGTACAGTTGAACTTTTCAGTTTTTTCTTTACCCAGTTTTTGCAATGGAATGTTGAGAATTGATATACTAGAACTGATTGAACATTTTCCCTCAACATGTTCTTAACATATCTAGGCCAAATCTTTCAAGAATTGGAGGTGCCACTCTTGTAGGATGTAGTGACAGGTCCTTTCCCAACCTCGTTGGAGGGCATTCTGGTACTAAAATCCAACTGGGAAGATGATCCGGATTTGTCAGTCATAAAGCATTTTAGAAAGACTGAGGATCTATTGGAAGTTAATAAAACAAAAGATTTTTTACCATTAGTTAATTTTAACACTTGGAAATAGTATTTGCCTACAGGAAGTAAAAATTCCTGTTTAATACTGTTGGACATGAAAACATATGGTTTTCTATGCAAGTAAGCTTATTGTTATATGTATGCCACTCATTCAGAAACATTGGTTTTGGTGCCTCTTTATAATGTTAACAGTATTGAAGATTCCAAAGAGCTTTTGATTATGTAAGTTACGTCTATGAGTTTTTGTTGTATTCTAAATTACAGTGCTCATTCCCAGCAAAATGGTAGCCATGTGAGTGGTAGATTTGTTAATTACTTTGATTGTGGTAACCAATATACAGTTATCTAAATGTCACATTGTGCAAATTGGATATATGCTGTTCTTATTTGTTAATCATATCCCACTAAAGCTCCAAGCATATTTATTTATCCATTTAAAAATAACAGTTAAGACTTTTGCGTACTAACTTAAGATAGCATTTTGATACAAAGTAGCTATTATCCACAGCCCCAGCATTTTTAATGAAATGGTAAATGTGATGTTTTTCCTTTCAATGTATCTCATTTGATGTCTGACTGAATTATAGTTAGATTAGGGCTGTCATATCTACTCTGGAATAGATGTATTAGATTATCAAATATAATGTAACTTTTGGCAAATTCTGTTATGCACTTGAGATTTGAGGCAATAATGTCTTGGTATCATCATGAAAATAACCTTTAATCTCTTGAGGTTTCTGGACTACGCTTTAAAAACTACTTATATATAGTTAGAGTGTACATACTTGATATATCATCCAAACAGTACTGTAAGTAGGGGGATGGTAGAGAGTATAAGTAGAATTCATATTGTACATGTATCTCAGTTGAATTATTTACAGTGAGAAACACCTTTGATAAAATTATTTTATTAGCATTTGGACATAGGGAAAAATTAGTTAAAATGTTTTATAACCAATAAGTATAGTTCTTTGTAGCTTTAATCTTGGCCTTATTCCCTGTGACTCTTCTAAAACTTTATAATATCAATAGGAAAAGAACTCAATTTCTAGATGTATTTTTTTAATGTGTATTTCAGGTTCTCTTTTAAAATATTCAATAGTTTAATGGGAGTCAAAGAGAAAGAACCTTCTTCCTAGAGCTCTTCTGTTGCTGATTCACTGCCTCAGTGGGCACCACTGGCCAGGGCTAGACCAGGACAGAGCCACGTGCCAGAATTTCTTCCAGATTTCCCACATGAATGGCAGACACCCACGCTCTTTGGCCATCTTCCACTGCTTTCTCAAGCAAATTAGGGGGGAGATTGATCTGAAGTGGACAGCTAGTATTTGTCCTTGAGCCCACATGCAATGACAGTGTCACAGGTGGCAGCTTAACCCACTAGAATAAAATTTAAAGTTTAAATGCTTTTTTGTTTTTTAAGGTTGGGTCTAAATTTGATTTATTGTTTAACTCAGTTTCAGTGTCTCTGTCATAGCTGAAAAGCATGCTGCACCATTTTATAAACAGCTGTACTCAAATCATACCAATTTTCCGAGTTGATAGCCATTGTCTTCATGGTATCGCAGTCTTTATTTGCTCTTGATCCAGACTTAGCTCTGATGAGGAGTTTAACATTTGTTCTCTGGATAGGAAGAAGCAAGGATTATCCACAAGAATGGAAACCCTGAATGCATTTAACTGATTATGTAGTCAGTGATACATGGTCATTTCTTTAGCTTGAAAAGGACTCTGAGTCTCAAACATAAGTTAATGTGCCTTACTGAGGCTTGATCTCTGTCATTGTCCTTACTCTTAACTAGAACCCTAGACTGTCTTCCTGTTCTGTCTAAGGTTCATTCTTAGAGACAGAGAATTAGACATAGTAAGCATTCTTGCTGTGGATTGCTTTGAGTTCTTAGGGTCCTCAAGGTATTAAGTACAGTTGATGAAATAAATGAAAGTGTAGTTAATGAAAATCTATAGTTTAGACTTACATTTGTTATCAGTTCAGAATATGTGTTTTGACAAGTGTTTTCTTTCTTTCTGAATAGTTTGTGGAGAAGTTTCTGTTGGGGAGGAAGAAGGTGAAGGTGAAACTGGTTGGATTGAAGGAGCTGCAATCCTGTTGTCAGTGGTGTGTGTCGTGTTGGTAACAGCTTTCAATGACTGGAGTAAGGAAAAGCAGTTTAGAGGCTTGCAGAGTCGGATTGAACAAGAACAGAAGTTCACTGTCATCAGGGGTGGTCAGGTCATTCAGATACCTGTAGCTGACATTACTGTTGGAGATATTGCTCAAGTGAAATACGGTAAGTCAAAGGGGAAAAAAAGACTTATCTGAAAGGAAACATAGAATTAGTATAATCTTATTCAGAGTTTGGCATGTCATTTTTTTTTTTAGGTGATCTTCTTCCTGCTGATGGTATACTTATTCAAGGCAATGATCTTAAAATTGATGAAAGCTCCTTGACAGGTGAATCTGACCATGTAAAGAAGTCTTTAGATAAAGATCCTTTACTTCTATCAGGTAGGAATTTCTTTTGTATCTTTGAACTTTTCCTCCACATCTGTTGTGTACCATTGTCAGCAGTTTCCCTGAGAGCTGATAATATGAAAAGGAGTCAGATTTTATGCTAGCTTCAACCCTCGTGATTTATAGAAACTTTTTTTGTAAGCTGACAGTAGAAATCTTTTATTTCAGAGCTATTCTCATTTTACCAATGAAGAGCATGTGTCTAAAGTCAAAAGACTTGAGAGTCTGTGTTGTGCTAGTTCAAGTCAGTAGAATAATGAATCAAAACTAGAAACAAGCTGACATTTTTTAATTCTTTGTTTCATTTTATTTTTGCCACCTGCTAATTTATTTTTTATGTTACTATGATCTGTTTTTCTGTATCTTGCTTATTTTTAAGGCCAGCTGAAGTATGGAATTAAAGAATTCTTATCTGTTTAAAATAAGTTAATAGTTCCTATGGTAATTTAGAATTGACAGGGTATTTTAAAATCATAGAATCCTTGAAGTTCACCTAACCCAACTCCCTCATTTAAATTGTTGACTAAAGAATCTGAGACATTAGCTATTTATTTGAGGTTGTGCTCACAGGAGTAACCAGTAGCCCAAGAAGAACTCCCACAACTAGTCTGGATGAAATTTCTACACAGTTAAGGGACGTTCTGGGAGGAAAAAGTGGGTAGACACTTGGGAGGCTTAGAGAGTAGCCTCACTGTGTTGATAATGTGATTGAAAACAGTAAACATAAGATGTAGGAAAATTACAAGTTGCTTTGTAAAACACTGAACAAGAAGCCAGAGTGCCATGGATTGATACTGAAAGCATATTGATTATTTAAATTTGTATTTATAAGGTTTTACTGTTCATAAGAGTCTTATAATTAATTGCCCAATATTCTTTTTATAGAATTAATAAAATTTTCTATAAGAGCTCTATTGTTAGGCTGAATTTGTACTCGTTTTAGGGGAGCCAAATGTTACCTATTTGTCTTCTATTATTTTCATGTATTAGTAGAATGCTGATGTTACATACCTTGTCAGAAGATTCTTGTCGATTTTAGTCGGCATCTGTAATTTCCCAGTGAGGTTCAAATTTTGACTGAAAAGGCAACTAAAGTCAAACCTATGATACCAGCAAGCATCAGTTAATTTAGAAACACAACTTAAAAACAGAACCTGAGCTTAGCCATTACCCTTTTAAGGTATTTTAATGTGCCCCTCCAAAAGCTTGTATGAGAAAGTAATTGTGTATGTGTGTACTCAAAAAATCAGACTGATTACATGAGTTTTACTTATAAACATTATGAAGAGGGTATGAATTCTAATTATAGGCAGATTTTTGTCAAGAGGACTTATTTTTTCTATACCTCTAGCAGCATACACTACTTAGAATGTTTATATTCTATTTGAGTGTTTCTCTGTGTTGATGTTCTTGTAATTAATGCCAAATAAAAGTATCTTGGACATAAACATATATTGAAATAATGCATAGTCATTCTACTTATTTGTTGCCATGCTTCTAACTAGTTAACCCAATAAAATCTATAGTCTTTGCGAAACAAAGAGATGGTGTCTATTCATACCTTACAACCACAGACTAAGTGGGCTTTGTTATTTGGCTAAATGCCATTTGATATCTGTACTTCATAGACTTTTATGTACATCTGGCTTATTTACATAGTGCTTAGTTCTTCAGGTTGATTTCCTTTGAATGAACTTTGGTCCTTTCTGTTTTAACAGAGATTACTGGTAAGCTTTGTGTGTACTCAGGTTCCTAACACACCAAATGTACTGAGAAAAGTATAAATTTTCCATGTTTAAGAGAAGACTGAAATAACTTTGTAGAGAGTCCCTTATCACAGCATGGGTGGGAAAGTTTTTCTGCATTTATTTCCCTGTTCCAAAAATGTACTAAAAAACATGACATGCATTTATTTTTAAATTTACTCTCATGATGCCATCTCTCGCTGCTGTTCTTGGCTTCTTAAATTTAGATTTTCAAAAGCAGTGTTCAGTTAGCAACAGGAATATGATCAGAACAAAAACTGTTTACTTTGCCTGTGTGCGTTAGCTGCCAATAGCTAATCAAACCTGTGGTAAGAAAAAACATAAAATGTTAAGGTCTGCAGAAAGCCAAAATAGTTAAAAGAAACAAATTGTCTTTTATGCATAGTACTTAGTAAATATTGTTTTTCTAACTTAAATTTCATTTCTTGTTTCCATTGCATTTTCACTGACAAAGAAACTAATGATTGGTGAAATGTTCAGAATATAGATTTTTTTAAAGCCCAAAAATCAAAGACCTAAAAGATTTATGTTGGCCAAGTTATTCAGTAATTAATAGTAAAATACAAATTCGTAAGTCCTAGAATAAGCACATATACCTTATTAAATATTTACAACTTTTGAACATTGATTCGGTTGATAGTTGGAGTTATACCCAACTCTCCATTAGGTTATGATAATAAAAAGCAAAAAATGGGTTGTTTTGAATACTGCTTAAAATTCTCAAAAACAATTGGAGTAGAAGTTGGAAGCTTTTTATAAAGCAGAGGATAGTACAGATATGTGGAGGTGTGAGTTAGAGAATTGCCGGCAAGCATCAGTTTAAAAGTAGACTACAACTTTTGTCATCTAAAAGAGTGGGATAAATCTTTGTTTTGCAACTTAAAACTTAAATAACATTGGGCAAGATTGTAGGGGAAAAAAAAGAACAACATCTGCCAGCTTGCAAGACTTGTGTGAGGACATAGTAAAAATTCAGTGTTACTGAATCTACCTGCTAGCTTTCTTTAGTGGAATTTTATGTTAGAATAATAGATCTTTCTCTTGCTCCACCCCAGTTCCCAATAAAAGTTAAAAATAGACGTTTAAAAAAACAAGCAAGGAAACAAAACTAAAACTAGGAGGTGTGGTGGCCAGTGGTTAAAACCTAGCTTGGAATGTCCACATCACATATTTGAGTCCCTGTGTTCAAGTCCTAGCTCTTGACTTCCCATGAATGCAAGCCTTGTTGTGTCCCTCTCGCCCACTTGCATTCCTGGCTCATTGCTCTGGCCCAGCCCAGCTCTGGCTCCTGAGAGTATTTTGAAAGTGAACCAGTGAATGGAAGATGTTTGTCCCCCTTTCTGTGTGTTTCTCAGCCTTTCAAGCAAAATGGAAAATCAGGTAGTTGTTTTCTTTCAAAGGAAGGAAGTTTGAAAAGTTTGGAACGTTAGTCTCAAGCTGAGAATTTGGGGCTCAGTCCAGTAGGTGGTGTAGATGCATACCTTTTTGAGCCGTAGAGGTATATGATGAAGCCATGTTTTCAGAATATTAAAGCAGATTTCAGGACAAACTGGAAAGACCATGGAGGAGGGATGCTGTGGTATTCTAGGCACACAGAGATGAAAGCCTGGATTACATAGTGTGTGAGGTTGGTTGAGTATGGGAAATGCAACAGCCATTGTTAACGAACTCTTTTGGTTGCAAGTGCATCTCTAAAAATAAGGCACTTTCAGAGAAATGTCCCTCCTACGTTAGACTATAATTAATACTAGTGAGCATTATTGATGCCCCACAAATTCCAGGAAGTATGAACACTTCACATTTATAGGCTGATATGAGAAGTGTGAAGCACCTTCCCTCTGTCAGGTGTAGGAACTGCTGCTTCCATTTTACCAAGGCTGAATTAGATGTTACAGTATATTCAGGATCCCCTGGCAGATAAGTGGTAGAGTGAGTGATTGTTGAATCCAGAGATGACTGATTAGTTAAAACCTTATATACAGAATGCAGGATTATGTAATATCCTATTAAACATTTTATTAAGCATTGACAATGTTAAAGAAACAGTAATATTGAAATTTGGTGATAGAAGGGAAGCCTGTTACAATTTTAAGTTTTCTCTTGTAGGTACTCATGTAATGGAAGGCTCTGGGAGAATGGTAGTTACAGCTGTAGGTGTCAACTCTCAAACTGGAATTATTTTTACCTTACTTGGAGCTGGAGGTGAAGAAGAAGAGAAGAAAGATGAGAAAAAAAAGGAGAAGAAAAGTAAGAATAACAATTCACTTTAAAATTTGATGTTTGCAAATTTTTAAATATTTTTATGTTTTAGCAAGATTTTAATAACTGGTACCAAAAAAAGATTTCTCTTGTGAGAGACCTATAGAAAAAAAAAATTGTCAAATGTTTAACCAGAATTTTTTTTTCAATATTTTTAAGTAGTAAAACTAAAATAAATTTTTAGCTTTAATAACCCACTAAGGGCCTTTATTGACTATATCAGTGTCCTTTACTTTAGCCAGACAGAAGTGCCGCCTGCTTGATGTACACTTCGATTTGATGAGTAAATCAGTTGAACATTGTTTTGCTATTCCCAACCCGTTAGTTCAGTTACAAACCCTGTCAATCGTATCACACTTTGATCTGATTGAGCTTTTAGGTTTTTCAGGTTTTCTATCATATTTCCAGCTCTAATACCTGGGCAGTTGTTTTGGATACAAGCCTGGAGCTTTATTTTGACACCTTGTGTTTGTTGTGTTCTCTGTATTCAGCACATTATTGGATAGTGAGGCCTGTTAAATTTTCAGTCATTGTTGTCTGCTGTCCCTCTGAGTCTTCGGTCACCTGAAAACTTGATAACCATAGAATTTACCCATGAACGTCTTACAGGAAACTCTGACCCCAGAAAACATCAAGAGGGAGAGATGCCAGTTTTAAAAAGCTCCCTTCACCCTGCTTCTGGGAATCGGCTGTACTATTCTCCCACTCGGGCTCTCCCGCTTCTCTGAATCATTCTCCTTTAGGCTGTGCACTGTGGTTTGGCCACTTAGAGTTAGTTTTACTTAGGATAGTAAACCCGTATTTCTCTTTCTTCTACATAGCTATTTTGAGATCTTCTAAAATAACTGCCTTTCTAAATAAAATCTTGGTTTACCCTAACTACAGGAGTGTTTTAATATTTGAGTGGTTTGTTTTGTTCTTTGAGTTTTATCTTTAGCTGTGAAATTCATTTTAAGCCTAAATGTAATCATAAAGGAGTGACTACAGGTGAAGACAGAAAGGCCTACATTCTACGTTTCTCCTCCCTCTACTTTGCAAGGCTGTACTTGGTATGCCTCCATAGCTCTGTGAAGGCTGAGTGTATGCAGTCTAAATGCTAATAGTAGTGATTCTGCTTACTGAGTTCTTGGCTTAAATTATCCCATTAGTCTTCAGAGCCAGATAAGGTAAAGACCTACTTATTTGTTTTTCACTGCTCAGTAAACCAAGGCTTATGAATGTTGTGTAACTTGTCACAGGTCACAGTATTGATAAATGTCAGATCAGTCCTCTTCTCTGGCTCAAGAATCTGAGTGCCCCATCCTAATAATGGGAGTTGAAAATTATCAGCCCATTGTAAAATGGAAGTTGGCCTCTTGGCTTTATTCTTATTGGCCCCCGTGGTGTCTGTTCTAGTAGGCACCTCTTCTTCTCCAAGACCTTACTTCATGGAAAAAAACAATTATGAGAAATGAATGTTGATTGTCTACTCTCCTCCCACACCCCATTTTTTTAGACATTTCTAATTGTTGTCTGCGAGCTCCTCTGCCATTAACTTCACTGCTTTGCAATTACTGAGGCCGTCGGGGGCAGTCTCTCTCAGTTCCTTCAGTAGCTTGCAGTGTGCCTGGCTGACCTCTCCAAGCTTGAGCTCATTCAAAGCTGCTGTGCATTCATTCTCTGTCTCCTTGTCTGTCTGAAGTTTCTGTTCTTCCTTGATTATATTTGTTCCATGTTTTCAAATTTGAAGGCAGTTCTCCTTAATAAAGAAGTTATGCAGGAGAATAGTCTGCATGGTTCTGCTTCCTGTCACTTCCAGTGTTACACTGCCTATTCCAAGGAGTAGTTCCATCTGCTTTCATTGCTTCATGGCTTCACAGACCATGTTCCTCTTTGTTCCCATTTCGGAAATGACGTAAGCTGGTGTTCTTAGGCTGTGCATTTTGTATTCTTACCTCTTCTTTTATCCATTCCACTTTTGCTCATTCTCACTGAAGCTGTCCTGTGTGCCTGTTTCTCTTTTATTACATTGGGTTCTTTTTTCTCCATCCAGGCCCTATCTGATTTCTTGGGGTTGATTCTGTCTGCTTTTCTGTTGTTATTTTGGAAGCTTAATGTACCGTTTTTGGGCTGAATATAGCTTATAAGAGAAAAGTTTAATTAAAAAAGATAAGTATAGATGTCTTAAGTTATATTGGCGTATTCCCTTATAGTAAACCACCCAGGCCAAATGTTTTCTCATCTTTAGCCACAAACACACACCCCGTTGGGTAGCAATTCTGTTACAGAAATGTGAACTACACCTACATAATTTAACATGGTTGTCTTCATTTCTTTTGGAAAACTTCAATTCCCATTTTGTTCCTACAGATAAGAAACAAGATGGAGCTATTGAGAATCGCAACAAAGGTAAATTCAGGAGGAGAGCAGTGTGGCGTGCTTGTTTTCATTATATCCCAAAACAGTTTTAATCCAAACATAGGAAACAAGTGGCAAGGAAAATCAACAATAAATATTAACTGAGTTGATCTCTCTTCTTGCTTAGTCATGTTTTCTATGCAATGTTAATAACATTTCTGGTAAGCATATGCAGGTAACTTTCAAACTTAAACATTTAAAGTATTTTAATAGTGATTAGAACATAGCAAAAATGTATAAGAAACTGAAGTAGAAGTTGGCTTTCCTTCTTCATTTATTTAGAAAAGAGTACATATGCATACTGCTCTGTGCATATATTCTACATGTGGTTGTAAGTTGTATGGAAGGCATTTATGGTGTTCAGATATTGTCTAACAATATAGAGGAAGAAAAAGGATTTAATATTCTTCAGTTCTTAGAGATCTTATATTTCTCCTCATGTCTCATCCTCATTATCTAGCACCACATTCTCAAATCTGTTAAGAAGCTTCATGATCTAATGTCAGTGTTGTCCTTTTTCCTCTCTAAACATGTGTGTTCCTCCATACACACAGCTGAATATCTACGTCTTTTCTAAAAACCGATTTGTTTTTAGTTGCCTGCGAATTAGTGATAAGTGCCTTTGAAACGTAGTCAAGTTACATTTGCTGTTAATATAGCAAAAGCTCAGGATGGTGCAGCCATGGAGATGCAGCCTTTGAAGAGTGAGGAAGGTGGAGATGGTGATGAAAAAGATAAGAAGAAATCAAATTTGCCAAAGAAGGAAAAATCTGTTTTACAAGGCAAACTTACGAAGCTGGCTGTCCAGATTGGCAAAGCAGGTATGATAATATACAAAAAATTGGTTTGTTTTTAAGTCCACTGACTTTCTGCTTAAGAATTGTCTTTGACAACAGGTTAGCAGTTACTGCTTTGATAGTAGAAGACTAAAAAAGAAAATTTTCTGTTTTATCCACAATACACCAGACCCTGTGAGTTGACAGTATAGAGACTGTTAACCCTATTTTACATAGAATAGATTTTCTGATAACTTGCTTATAAGTGGTGAGGTTAATAAATCCGTTCTCTAGAATAAAACCAGAGCTCGTAGATAAAAACAGCATACCCTACATTTTTATCAGCTTTTTGAAAGAACTGTATATTTAGTCAGCGTACGTTATTAAAGTCACTTAATTTTTATCCACCTAATACTTCCTTAGAAGTATCTTGGAAAAAGTGAGGGTTTTGCTTCTTTCCCCAATAAATTTATTATTCATCAGTGAAAATTCGCAGTAATACACTTTTATTTATTAATATATATATATATAGTCCACAAAGTAGATTAGGCCGGTTTCCTTTTGACCATGTATATAAAGCATCAGATCTTGGTATTTCTTCATCATTGCCTGTTACCCTTTTGTCGCAGGCAGAAGATGACATAAGATATAGTTAAATCTAAGAAAGTATTTTAAATGCCTTTTTCCCAATTTTCTTGGGGACAGGGTTGTGTTCTGAGGCAAAAATTAAGTCTAACAATATCCAGTGATGAATTGGGTTTAAAAAGGAGGCACTTTTTCAGACAAATAAAATAAAGTTACTTATAACTCTGTAAAAGTTAACGTGTAGCTGACATCTGTATCTGAAATGTTTAATCTTTTTTTTTGAAAGGTTTATTGATGTCTGCCATCACAGTTATCATTCTTGTGTTATATTTTGTGATTGATACCTTCTGGGTTCAGAAGAGACCATGGCTTGCTGAGTGTACGCCGATTTACATACAATATTTTGTGAAATTCTTCATTATTGGAGTAACAGTTTTAGTGGTTGCAGTGCCAGAAGGTCTTCCACTTGCAGTCACTATCTCACTGGCTTATTCAGTCAAGGTAAATAGATACAAATAATAGATATGTTATATATTCCACTGGTGTACAAAAGTGCTCATCCTTTTTTGATTCTGAAAATGAGAAATTTCCCTAAATGCACAGTTTTTGGTAGAAGGACGTTGATTGGTTTAAATGTCTCAGTATATGAAGGTGGGCGTTCTCCAGAGGGCGGCCATGACATCCTGCCAGCACACCGAGGCAGAGCTCTAGCCTCTTTTTCTCTGGCAGTTGTAAAGTCAGGTTGCTTCTGTTATCCTATCTCTAAAATTGACATGTGGTACAAGAGATTCCTTCAGACTCCCGTGGCCTCCTTGTTTCTTATCCACAATGACCTACAACCTGACCATCATACTTGTGTGATGACTCATATTTCCAAACATAATTCAGATCATGTTATTTCTTTGCATAAAACCCACCAGTCACAAGTCACCCCTGGGCTAACAGACTAACGGCCCTTGTTTATGTAGCTCTCAGGGCTCACCTCTTGCTTGTTCCTTTTAGGCCTGACCTCACCACCTTCCTACTAATTTTCAAACATCCCAACTGTATTTTTACTCCAGGACTCACTTGCTTCCTCCTTTAAGTAGTATACTCCTTTGCTCTTTTTAACCCCCTTCTAATGTCACATTCACTTAAACTTTCTCAGCCTTTGTTTTCCAAATAGAATGCTAAAAAATGAACTTTGATAACTTTGCTTATTGCCGTTTACTTGAAGTAACAGTCTGTTTGAAGGTTGTTCATTTTTTATTTTGTAGTGTGATAAATGTCTTCAAGCGTTTTGAAAGGTTTAGCATGAACAGGTTTCTTTCACAACAGTTTTTGCATAAAAAAAGAATACACATGTGGAAGAATGCTGCTGTAGTAAATTTTCAGGTGTTAAGTATTTCTTATTAAGCAACATTGTGGACAGTGATCAATATAAAGTAATTATTAATAGATTCTGTTCTACCCCTCTTATCCTCAGTTTTCCAAAGTGTTTTAAATTGAACCTGTCCTGAGAAGCTTTTTTTGTTTATTTTTGCTTACTATAGGAGCTTATTTTTTTCTCAAGCTTTGAACATTGTGTTTTCAAAAATAAAGTGGTAAATGTATCAAGTGATAAAATACATTATAATCATCTATTTGCCCCTTTTGCGTGTTTTCAGATAATTAGAAATAATTGGAGTAAATATAACTATAGATATATTGATCATTTTACCAGTCATGCTACTTGTTATTTTTTTCTTTTTCGTTTTTATTTATTTAGAAGCCAGGGTTGGGAGACAGTGGGGGTTGGTGATTTGGGCTTCCCTCCTGATCCCAGATGGCAGCAACAGCCTGGGCTGGGCCACATAGAAGCCAGGAACCAGAAACTGCATTTGGATCTCCCATGTGGGTACGCAGACCCAAGGGCTTGTTATCATCTGCTTTTGCAGGCACATCAACAGGGAGCTAGATTGGAAATATAGCCTGTGGCAGCTTAACACACTAGGCTACAATGCCATCCTTACCACTTTTAAATTTTGAATAAGCATTAGTAACATTAATTTTTCAGATAATCTGAGGGATAATAGGCAGGATTGATTTGAGTTCCTTAAGTGAAAAATAGATAAGAGTTAACTTTGTCTTTAATCTTTTATTAAATGCTTATTTACCTGTGCTGATGTTATTCTCTTCACAGAGGTGTTGTTTCTTGGGTCTTAGCATTTTGCAAAATTAAACATTTTCTTGACTACAGGTCTTCGTTCTTTTGATCTTTACTTTTGCACATTACTAGTACTTTTTGAAGTATATGACGAGTTTATTCAAGGAACATGTGCAGCATCTTGCACATTAGTTATAAAATGGGTAGTATTTTACATGGGTATTAAGAATTGCATTTTATCTTTAATGGCCTTTGGACTACTATAAAAGCTTTTGGGATTTGTCATTGTTTTTAAAGAAATGGTCTTTTCTGTTGCTGTTAATAAGAGACATGGGTGTTTGACAAACATGCTTAAATCTTATGGATGAAAATCCCAAGTCTGCCAACATACGGATAGGTAAAAATGACTCTAATTTATCAGGTAACTTAAACATAAGCTCCTTAATTTAAGCTTAGAAATTCAGTTCAATTTAAAGCAATTTGCACTCATTTTTATGTAATGAGGTGATTGATTTTATGTATAGGTTAACTAGATTTTATTTTTTGTTGCTATAGAAAATGATGAAAGATAACAATTTAGTAAGGCATCTGGACGCTTGTGAAACCATGGGAAATGCTACAGCTATTTGTTCAGATAAAACAGGAACATTGACAATGAACAGGATGACAGTTGTTCAAGCTTATATAAATGAGAAACATTATAAAAAAGTTCCTGAACCAGAAGCTATTCCACCAAATATTTTGTCATACCTTGTAACAGGAATTTCTGTGAATTGTGCTTATACATCAAAAATACTGGTAAGGTTTCTTTAAAAATTTATACATATATATATATATGTTAACATTTAAATCTATACTTACTAGACCATGTATAAATCATAAAAGCTACCATTATAAGATGAATTACCATTTTAAAAGTCATTTATTCTTAGAATGTGTATCCATTTCTTTGGGTATGATTTATACTATGAAGAATGTGTATTTATCAGCATATATTCTGTTTTAAAAATTTTTTCCTTTTGTATTTTGAATAACATTTAAAAGCTTTCAAGCCTTATGACTGGGACATATTCATAATTTAGAATTTTAAATATACTTATTTTATAAAAGACCGAGCCTTTCTTAAGTATAAAAGGTCAGCTGTTAATTTTCTGGAAAAAATATGAAGCCAGATTTCAGCTTACTGTATTTTAAAGGTTTTTGGTATGTTCTGTTTGTTTTTTCAGTAGTTTCTGCTTCTTTCAGTCCTTTTGAAATTAATATGGTATGGTAATTCTAGACTTGTGTTACCTTAAAATACAGCTTTTTCAATTTTATGAATTCTAAAAATCTTAATTATAGCAAGAATCATGAAATGCATGTTTGGATGTGCTCTAGGAGTTTATGAATAAATGAACAAAAATAATATTGCGGATAATTAATTAGCATAAACATTTGAATTGAGTGATTGGGCTGAAAAGTTATGGGATCTTGGTTCTAGATCTAACATTGTTTTTTACTATCTGAAAATCTGAGCTTTGCTTTACTCAGTTTTAACTACAAATGGTCACATCTGTCCTTAAACTGATTCGTGATTATGATAAAAGGTAGTGTTTGTGCGGTGACTGTCAAGGAAGTAAAACTTCCCAATGCATTAAGACCATCGTAATTTATATACTTTTAAGCTAAAAGAACAATAGATTTCATTTTTAATTATTTAAATGTTCAGTGAAAACAAGAAAAGGATGTTAATTAAAGTTTTAAGTCCTCTTCGTATCAGGAAACACTGTGTACATTGTGCGTTTTGTATCATTAAATTCTTGGGTCACAAGTGCTCCTGTTTTACAGATGCTGAAGCCAAGGACCACAGCAGTTGGGTAACTTGACAGATATTCACATAACTAATAACTGACAGGGCTGAGTTTGGAAGCCATGCCTTTCTCATCCCACATTCCTTTTTACCTGAGTTATCCTTGTCCTCCTTTGAAATGCTGATATGAGTAGATGTTTTCTATATAATTTTGTTCTAGAATGTGACATTCTGTCTTACTTGGTAAGTTGACTTTCATGGCAAAAACAAGATGATACTAGCTTCTAAACTTTTTCTCTTATAGCCACCAGAAAAAGAGGGTGGATTACCACGTCATGTTGGTAATAAAACTGAATGTGCCTTGTTGGGACTTCTTTTGGATTTAAAACGGGATTATCAGGATGTTAGAAATGAAATCCCAGAAGAAGCACTGTACAAAGTCTACACCTTCAATTCTGTTAGGAAGTCCATGAGTACTGTCCTGAAAAATTCAGATGGAAGTTATCGAATATTCAGCAAGGGTGCATCTGAGATAATGCTGAAAAAGTAAGAGTAAATTGCTTAGATGAATAAATTGCTGGCTATAGTTGACCATGTTGTTGATGTTGTTTTCTTTTTGTGAACAGCAGATATTTGAGAGGACTTCAAACCTTTTTAGCATATTTCGTGGTATCCATATTTTTGCCCATAGCATTCTGCCATTTTCACCCTAGAGTTTCTCTTCTTAGTATTTTGCAATGGAAAAATAAACCCATTATATTCAATCTGATAAATTTAGTAAAAAATATCTTTTTGTTTGTCCCTAGACATATTTATCCCATTGTTATGTAGGATCATGAAAAATAAAGCCTTCTGGGAAGAAAAACTCAGATTGATGTCTTAACACTGTATTATAATTAGTAAATTCAAAATGTGATGAGTGATATATAAATTACCTTTCAGAACAAGCCTTAAAGCTAGATCTTGAAAATTCCTCTTTTATATGAAAATCAGTGTATGCTGTTTCACTGTCGTATTTAAGTATCTCCTATCATTTTGAATAATCTTTTTATTTTTACTGCCCTTTACAGAGCAGCAGTTTTGGTTTTAATATGCCATGTTTATACATAATTTCCATAATATTTCTGTTGTTACAAGTGTTGAAATTATTTTGCTTTCTTTAATTCCAGTAGAACAGTTTAAAAGTTTTTACTTGATAGCTTTGAAAGTTGAAACTCATTTGAGTTTTTAATGTTGTTGATTTACTTATATGTAGAATGTAATTCAGTTTTATCTTAATTGATACATGATAGATTGCAGTCTTATAGACTTAGGGTACAAGCATATGAATGAAGACATAGTATGATAGGGCAGAATGTTAAGATGAGAGATTTCACTATGCGGGTATAATATTTGAGATGATTTTTTAAAGCTACAACAGAGAAAAGGAAATGGGGATATGTTGGTTCTGTTGGGTGTTTCCAGTTGAGTAGTTCTGCTGTAGAGACAGGCTTCTGTGGCACAGGGCAAAGAAGCTTTCTTCCTACTGCACTGGGCTATTGGGTTTAAGTGTGAAAGATTCAAAATGTTTCATTTCTCAAATGCTGGTTAGTAGGTATAGGGGAGATTTTTTTTTAAAAAATCAATCTTATCAAACTTTAACTCTTCCTTCCCTTGCAGTTAACCAGCTGTGAGTCTGGGGGAGATTGTCCACTTAAATTCTACTTCTTTTAATGAAAAGGAGGTGGTAAACACAAATTATATCACAGCAACATAAAATAGTATACATAAACTGCCTCTCATGGAACCTGATGCATAGTAATATACAGTAGGGGAGTGTGCAGCTGAGCTTTACACTGACCAGGTAGTACAGCTGAAATAATTTTATCATCAGGTAGAGCAACCATCAAAGCTGTGAAAGAAGATAATACTTGTATCAGGTGATAAGATGATTTGGGGGAAAAAGGACAGATTGGAGCCCAATATCCGTTTAAAGGCTATTCCTGTTAGAATAGTTTATCTTGAAGTCAGTGCCAAAAGAAAACAGTAGCAAGGGAAATATTAAGTTGCAGACACATTCAGGAGACTGTGCAGAGATTTATGTAGAACTTGGGAATTCGTAGTATATTGGTGATAAGGAAGCAGTTAAGTGTTCAGGAGATATTTTAGGTGTGTATCTAAATAATTTCATTAAAGTTGATGCCAATAAGTGGGCAGGGAGGAGGAGGCCACTACCAGGCTGTCATGCAGCAAGTTAAAATACAGAGTCAGCACTTGGGTGGAATTTCTCAGGAAGGGTGGAGAAATGATTAAAATGGAAGATACAGATTTGGAGATCATCTCCATAAAACCAGGTGGTAGTATCACTCAGAGAGAGAAATATAGAAAGTCATTGAGAAAAACACACTTTCCACAGGAAAGTGTACAGCATGCTTTCGTTTGATACACTATTTACAAAGGAAGTATCTTTTAGTTTCACTGTAAATGAAGCTATTTTGGCATTATCTCTTTGATGGAAAACTAAAAAACTTTTTCATAACAATAAGGTTTGTTTTTCTTTCATGTTTGAAACAGTAAGTGCTGAAACAACCTCTCAGGTAAGGGGTTGGTTTTACTTTTAGTGAAGAAAATATGTGATTTTTGTGTATAAATTAAAATCTTTATATCAAATGGTCAGATGTATAGTTTAATCTTCTTTGATACTAGATATTTGTGAAAATTTTGACACACTGTGTTTCCAAAAGGGAAGGTTTAGAGAATGCCTAGGGCAATTGGAATAGTGGAGAATTGTCGAATGAGAGCCACACATATCAGAAGTGTCTTTTAAAGTGGAAAGTGAATATGATTTTAGTTCGAAAGTGCAATGTGAGTAATTCTCTGAATTTCCAGATTATCAGATCCCATGATTTCTAGCCCTTCCAGTTCACTTAAATGGCATTAACCATTATTTTTGTTAATTATTGATGTTTGGATTCAACATTTCCTTTTAGGTGTTTCAAAATCTTGAGTGCTAATGGTGAGGCAAAAGTGTTCAGACCAAGGGACCGTGATGATATTGTAAAAACTGTGATTGAACCGATGGCATCAGAAGGCTTGAGAACCATATGTCTTGCATTCAGAGATTTTCCAGCAGGAGAACCAGAACCAGAGTGGGATAATGAAAATGATATTGTCACCGGCCTTACATGCATTGCTGTTGTGGGGATTGAAGATCCTGTGAGACCTGAGGTGGTGAACCATTCTGTGTTCTGCATGTGCAGAATCTTGATATAGAGGATGTAGCATTAACTGTAACTAGTTTTCTAGCTAAATTGCTGGTGTTTTTGGCTCTTACGCTGCGTATATTACTTTTTTGTGAGTTTTAATTAGCTTCTTTTTGAGATTCTTTGTTTTGAAGCACCATACCCTACTCAGAACATTGATTTAATGGTTTTAAGTCTTCAGTGCAGTGCTGTCCATGAGAGCTTCTTGCAATGGTAGAAAGGCTTCCTTTTTTGTTTGGTTTAGTAACCACCAGCTGTGCGTGATCACCGTGATCTTGGTATATGGCAAACAATGTGAAAAAATGACCTGTTTAACTTAAATTTAAGCATTCTGGCTAATGGCTACTACATTAAATTTTACTTTTTGTCCTTTCAAGTCTTGCCCCCCACCCCATGTTCTTACTCATTTATTTAAGTTTATTAAACAGCCACTGTTTTTCAGGGATATTAGCAGCTTCAAAAACCTGCTCCCTGACCTTAAGGAAGTCAGTGCCTTGGGTGGATGTGAGTGAGCACATAATGATAACCTACATATTAGGACATTGCTGGATGTATACAAAACTTAGTATTCTAAGCAGAGAACACGAGCTTTCAACCTAAAGTAGCAGCATTTTTCTGTGGAGTTCTCACTATATGCCAGATACTATGCTACGTGTCTTACATATAGTATATCATTAAGTGTTTCTGCTCTATGAGATGCTCATTACTGGTGGCATTGGATAGTTTAAAAATATATATATGAAAGTGGAGCTTTAGACCAAGACCTTAAGTGTTCAGGTCTGTTTAAAATGTGTGTATTTAAAGGACCGTTGTGCTGTGTTAACTACAGCAAGAAGGGTCAGGTAACATTTAGAGGTTAATTACCTTCTTTGAACCTTAAAGGATGAAGACATAAATTATATCATAGTACCCCAGGCTAAATATCATCTGTTAGGGATATGACTGGATCCGTGCTTCCATGGCCCTTAAATTTTGGATGGAATAGGAGAGGAGATTTAAGCGGGAGGATCAAAAGTAAGAAAGGAGCTATAGTGGAGCTACACAGGCTGATGAAATAAGGTAACCAAGTGGGAGAGCTTTTGCTCTCGGCTAACAACGAACAGCTGCAAGAACAGTATTTTTGCCCAGCACCAAAAATATATAGGCGTGAAGGTGCGCAGAGTGATTTTTTTTTTAAGATTTTATTTTCATTGGAAAGGCAGACCTACAAAAAGAAGGAGAGACAAAGATCTTCCATCCTCTGGCTCACTTCCCAAATGGCCACAATGGCCAAAGCTGAGCCAATCCAAAGCCAGGAGCTTCTTCCAGGTCACCCATGTGGGTGCAGGGTCCCAAGGCCGTGGGCTGTCCTCCACTACTTTCCCAGGCCACAAGCAGAGAGCTGGATGGGAGATGGAGCACCCGGGACATAAACTGGTGCCCATGTGCAATCCTGGTGGATGCAAGATGAGGTTTTAGCCACTGAGGCATCGCACCAAGCCCAGGCAAGCTATTTAACTGTTTGGAAACCAGTGTGTCTACTAGGTAAATAGAAGAAAGGGAAATAAGATAATCTTTGGCCTTACAAGCTCAAAGGTTTTTATTTTATTCAAAAAATCAGGTTTGAGAAGCTATATGATTTGTTTTCAAAGTGCTCCTTTGAGTACCATGAGGAAAAAATGGCTTAAAGAGAAAGCAGAGCAGAGGAAGCAGCAAAATAAAATTATTGCAGTGATCAGTTGCTAGCGCAAAAAAAAAAAAAAAAAAAAAAACAACAACAAACAAAAAAGCCCCACTTGTGGCACAGGAAGATGGAAAGCAAGGGACAATTTTAAAGTAAATGCTGTTGAGCCCAGCGCTAAAGTCCTTGAAAGCACCGGGATCCCATATGGGCAGTTCCACTTCTTATCCAGCTCCCTGCTTGTGGCCTAGGAAAGTAGTTGAGGATGGCCCAAAGCCTTGGGACCCTGCACCCATGTGGGAGACCTGGAAGAAGCTCCTGGCTCCTGGTTTCGGATCGGCGCAGCACCGGCTGTTGTGATCACTTGGGGAGTGAATCATTGGATGGAAGATCTTCCTCTCTGTCTCTCCTCCTCTCGTATATCTGACTTTGTAACAAAAGTAAATCTTTTAAAATAAATGCAGTTGGACTAATAGTAATAAACATGTTGAGTTTAGTTACACTGTTTTGTTTTGTTCTAAAGATTTTTTTAAATCAATTGGAAAGTGAGTGAGTGACAACTCCCATCCCGTTTCACTTCCTCAAAGGGCCGCAGTAGCCAGGGCTGCGTCAGTCTGAAACTACGAGCTATACCTAGTCTGTTCTATAAGTGGTAGGGCCCAAGTACCTGGGCCATCTTGTGCTAATTGCCCCGGTGGATTAGCAGGGAGTGTGAATGCTGGTATATTAGGTCGCAGCTTAACTTGCTGTACCACAAAGACAGCTTGACTCTTTTGATGTGGTTGAAGTGTCTTGAGCTGTCCAAATGTGTGCCAGGTGGGCAGTGGGTCTCATATCCTCAGAGTGGTCTAGGCTGGAGTGATGCTGTGTGCAACTGAGAGACCTGGACAGGGTCTCAGCATCACAAGTCTTACAACGGAGGTAAATTGAGCTCTAATTTGGATACTCTGATAGTGGAAGGTTGTCATCAGTGTCTTAGGAGAGTCAGAAAAAGCTTGCTGGGAAATCAAGATAAGTACAGGTTTGGGTTTTAGAATTTCGGATGCATAGGAAGCATACTGCTAGATGTTAGCCAGTCTTTGCTGACAAGAAAACCATTTAAAGTGTTATTCTTTGACGGTGTTACCTAATATTCAATGTAGATGTCTGATGCTTTTGGTTTTTGAAAGCATTTATTATGCTTTTGACATTGAGGGTTAATGGAGAGTTATATATATTTTTAAAGATTTATTTATTTTTATTGGAAAGGCAGGTATACAGAGAGGAGGAGAGGCAGAGAGGAATATCTTCATCCGATGGTTCACTCCCCAAGTGAGCGCAACTGCTGGAGCTCAGCCAATCCGAAGCCAGGAGCCAGAAGCTCTTCCAGGTCTCCCACATGGGTGCAGGGTCTCAAGGCCTCGGGCTGTCCTCTACTGCTTTCCCAGGCCACAAGCAGGAAGCTGGATGGGAAGGGGGAGGGGGCACCGAGGTTAGAACCGGCACCCATATGGGGTCCCGGCACGTGCAAGGAGAGGACTTTAACCACTATGCTATCACGCCGGGCGTGAGACTTATATTTAAAAAAAAAAAATACATGATAGGTATTTTTTCAATATCACAAAGTGAGACGAGTAATTTTATGCTAAAATTAGATAAATAATAAAGGGCTTTCTCAGAGTTATTCTGAGCCTGTGTAGTTTTAAAGGAGGGAATCTGAAGTGGCAGCTGCGAAGTAGGGAGTCTTGATTAGGTACATGAAACAATTTTAGTTTTATTGTGTATGCACAGGTACTTGAACAAGGTAACTTGTCCTGACTTCAGTTACAATAGTTAGTGGCCTATTTAAGTGGTTTATTTATTTGCAAAACAGAGTTAGAAATCTTCTGTCCACTTGTTCAGCTTCCCTCTAGCTGCTGAGGCCACGGCTGGCTGAAAGTAACAACCCCAGACAGTGAATTTTTATTTAAAAGCATTTGAGCACTAGTTAAGCAGTTATTAAATGCTCGTTTGTCTTTATTAAACATTATTTGCTACATAGTTTTAATCCCAGATGAGTTTCCCCCTGTTAAACTCATTATTTCTTTATGCAAATAATTCTGAAGACAATATACATGAATAGATATAGATATCTGGTTGGGTTTTTTGTTTTGTTTTGTATTTAGATTTACTTATTTTTATTGGAAAGGCAGATCAGATTTACCGAAAAGAGAAACAGATCTTTTATCCACTGGTTCAGTCCCTAAGTGGCTGCAATGACCAGAGCTGAGCTGATCCAAAATCAGGAGCTTCTTTCAGGTCTCCCATGAGGGTGCAGAATCTCAGTGCTTTGGGCCATTCGTCATAGCTTTCCCAGGCCAAAAGCAGGGAGTAGGATGGGAAGTGCAACAGTTACCCCTGTGGGATCCCAGTGGTTGCAAGGTGAGGATTTAGCCATGAGCCATTGTACTAGACCCAGAAAAATTACCTTATCTCAAATATATCATGAGATGTATTGCATTTATGTAACAAATACTTTCAAATTCAAATAGTTTATATATACTTATTATACATATATATATAAACTGTATATATATGAACCTACTCATTCCTGTTGCAAGAATGTAACTCAGCTTTGGCATTTAAGGAATGTCAGGTGAATTCATGCATGTATATGATGGTGTTATCCAGTAATTAGAATGATTGAGTGCTGGCTGGGAGTAGGATAATCTTAAGATTCACAGATAGGCATTGATTTAACTTACTAGTAGTTAGATAATACATATTTTCACACATGGTGTCCATGATAGTGTCTAGAACATGCCTCCCTTGAAAAAATGTCCCTGGACGTGATGTTGCAGTCTATGGATTGGGCCTCCACCTGTAACACTGGCATCCACTGGGGATCCTAGTTCAAGTCTTGGCTTCTCCTTTTCCGGTCATGTTCCCACGTTCTTCAGGGTCCTGCACCCAGTGGGAGAACTGGATGAAGCTTCTGGTTTTTGCCTGGTCCAGCCCAGGCTGTTGCAGCCATTTGAGGAGTGAACCAGCAGATGGAAGATACCTCTGTGTCTTTCCCCATCTCTCTAACTCTGCCTTTCAAACAAATCTTTTATTAAGAGGTGGGAGGTGGAGATGTGGAAGAAATATTTAATTCAGTAGTTTAATAAAAACTAAGCTCAAAAAATACCAAAAAAAAAATAATAATAAGCTCCCATTGTATGTCAGGAACCTTTAGTGAAAGGTAGTATACTGAGAATTAATGTTTCAAAGATAAGGTAAGCAATTTATTGACTTGCTGAAGATTCAGATAAAACAATAATTATATTGTGATGTAATGTCCTACATTAGGGATATGTAAAAGGTGCGTTTTTTTTTTCTTCCCTAAGGTAGTAGGCTTAGAAAGTTAGATTTAAACTGGATTTAGATTAAAAATAGGAATTATAGGCAGATAGGCAGCAGGCCACATTGAGACTCCATTCAAATTTTCCTTGGCTTTATATGAGTGTAACGTTGAGGTTATGCACAAATCTGATATTCTCTCTTGAAGTAAATAATTCTATTAACAGTGAATTGTCATTCAATCGTAACAGATTAGAAATAAGTATCTTTCATAGGCATTTATCACAGGTTTGCCTTTTTCAGTGTGTTTTGCTAATATATGCTTTCTACCATGACCCATTAGCCATTTGAATTTGCACTTTCTACTGCAGTGCAATCAGCATGGGCTCTTCTGATTGAGAAGAGCAGGACAGGAACTGAGATACTATGTAGACTATTCACTGTCAACTTGTGTATAATGGAAGAAAATTCAGATTAGTCTAAAAAGCTGATGTGAGCCTGAATAGTGATAGCATTTTATACTGAGAGTCTTACTGTAATGTTTTTTAATTGTACTAATGTTTAAAAGGAGAAAAATAAGGCAAGAATGCCAGTTTCTTAAAAATTGCAGTAACTTAGTAAGCATTGAGAAAATGAAGCAGACACAATTTGAGGTGCAAGTCACAACACTCAAGTGTTGGCCCTCAAGGGAATAAAGGGAAGGAAGATTTTAAGGAGGTATAAATGACCCACAGGTTGTCACAGCTAAATTCAGATAATATGGTCCTCCTTTCTGTAATAGAAATCTTGATCATTCCTGTGTCAACCTGAACTGTGAATCGGCTCTCAATGGTCAGGGAGGAATGTAGATTTAACTCAGTAGCACACAGATTGTCTAGGAGTAGGTAAGATAACCCTTTGGGAGATACAGGAGCCACCCATAACCCGAAGGAATGCACACTCTGGTTGTGTGTGGTCTGGGCAATTAAAGCAGAAGCCACCCAGAAAAGGCTTGAAAAGCTTTTGGTAAATAATTGGTACAAACGAGGATGGCAGCTAAAAAGGAAGCCTGAATCCTGAGCATGACTGTGGACTAGCAAAGAAGAGATAAGGAGATTTTGATACTAAATTCAAGTTGCCATTTTTGGAGGGACTGTTAAGTGAGACTTCCTCCCCACCTTTGGAAATCCTCACTTTCTTCCATAATATTTTTTTCCTTCTTTTTAAATTAGGTGCCAGATGCAATAAAGAAATGTCAGAGGGCTGGAATTACTGTGCGGATGGTCACTGGGGATAATATTAATACTGCTCGGGCTATCGCTACAAAATGTGGTATTTTACATCCTGGGGAAGATTTCCTGTGCCTGGAAGGTAAAGATTTTAACAGAAGAATACGAAATGAAAAAGGAGAGGTAAAGATTTTGTATCTATATTATGTTTAGCAGATAATGTTTTAGTGTCGTAGACCCTGTATTCATTAATTATGTATTGATTACACAGTAATCTCATATATGCACCCTGCGTGAACAAATACCCTCTATTGCTCAGGAAGCAAAAGGCTGGCATTCTAGGAGATAAAAGTGGCGTTTGATAAACTAGCCCTAAAGGAGTGAGCACTTGTTCGGCATGTGTCACGTGACATTAGTTGCTGAGTCTAGGCAGAAGTATAATTGTTATGTGTAAAGAAGTAACTGTAGATAAATTTAAAAAGCAGGTATGGAGAATAATTTTAAGGGACACCTAACTGAATTTTTTATACTCTTAAAGCAGTGTGGTTTTTGTGGGCATTGGAGGGATTTTTAAACATCCTGTGTGTAGCAGCATGTATCACAGTCGCCTAAAGAGCTTGCTGAAATACGCATTTGCTGGTTCCCACCTGCAGTGCTTGATAAAATAGATCTGGGGCCCTGCCCAAGAATTTGCATTTCCAAAAAGCTCCCAGGAGTGCCTCATTCTCTTAGCCTGTTGATCACACTTTAAGAACCGTTGATGGATATAAAGTAGATAGGAGATTTGAAATCATGAAACTATGTTTGGGTACATATTAACGTTGATAAAAAAAATTGCAGATTGAGCAAGAACGGATAGACAAGATTTGGCCAAAGCTGCGAGTACTTGCAAGATCATCTCCTACTGACAAACATACACTTGTTAAAGGTGAAAAGATTTTATATTTAGTTCACGAATGTGTTCTACTTGCTAACATAGTAATAGATACTGAATTATTAGATGGAGAATGAGTATCATCTTTTGCAATAAGATCATAATACATTTTCTTTGGTTATCTTTGTTTTCTTTAGTAATAATACAGGATATTAATGTAATGATACTGTTAGTTGAGTCTATAAAACTAATAAGGATATTGTGTAAAATCGCCTTACTGATGAAAGAAAATGAGTTTTATGGGACAAATATTTACTTTTATTTAAGGTATAATTGACAGCACTGTCTCAGAACAGCGCCAGGTGGTAGCTGTCACTGGTGATGGTACAAATGATGGCCCAGCGCTAAAGAAAGCTGATGTTGGATTTGCAATGGTAAGAACTTACTCGGGGGTTCAGATGTAATTTATTGGTGGAGTTGTTTATTGACTATGTTACTAGTGCTTTTAAAAACTGCCTTTTAAGATCATTTTGAAAGTGAATAAGCCTATATTGGCTTAGAAGTCTAACTATTTTATGTACTTTTAAGCAGGTCTCTGGTTTAGAACAGTTATGTGTCTTTAAAAGCGAAATCTCTCACTTAACTGAAAAATGTTTTACAGAGTAATTGAATATCATCATTCTGTGTAGGCAGAACAGGTATTTTTATTTTCTTTTTGTTTTGGAAAATACAGATCCGTATCCAAAATTCTGGTATCAGAATTATCAGAAAACTGAAATTAGCAGTGGATTTTTATAATTACAGAAATTGTTCAGAACTAATCTGAGCCTCCTCGTCCATGCTAATAGCCTTTAAAGACCAATTAATGTATTTTTGTGGTGTGCTAACTAGCCCCTTGTGGGAGAATTTGTGAAACAAGGGATATCATTATCTTTTAAAAATAGGAGATACTTAGACTTCTGAATACCATCTGTCCCGAAGGCTTTGGATGAAAACTTAGCTGTACCCAAAGCTATTGGCACAATTTGCAACATGGTATTTTGCTGTTCAAATCTGATTTCAGAAGAACCATCATGGTGGCAGCCTTAAAACAAAAGTGTGACAGGAAAGGAAGTGGGTAAATTGCCCTTAACCTGAAGCAGCAACTCCAATAATCCCTATCCTACCCCAGCCCAAATTTGCTTGGTCGGCAGCTGCACTGGTATGAACTTGCAAAGACTTGTAAGGGTGGTCTGAGCATTGGAGTAACTGCGAGTTTTTCCTGTGTTCATTCACTCTAGGAACACAGGATCCTTTACTGCTCCTGCTTTTGAACTCTGAGTGGAATCCTTATTGATACTTTTATCTAGACAGCTGACCAGGAGGGCAGTTATATGCACTGCATGTTAAAACAACCTCTCTTTAAATTTCAGTGTAAAGTGGACGGTTTGGACGTTAAATAGAGTAAATATAGTGATGCAAACAAAAATACATTACAATGACTGGTTTGTATGTTTTCAAACTCTGAAAGTTGTAGGCCCAATTTTATCATTTTTTTAAATGGTAATATGAAAAAATAAATTTAAAAGTAGAAACAGAACGTGATAAGTGTTTAGTGGCTTTAACTTGAAACCACCATTGGCTCAACCTTGAATTTTACTTTGGATTGCACATATTTTTAGTTAAAACTTAAAATTATTTATTTCAGGGATTCTTTTAGATACCTGAAAGAAATTTCTGCTAATTGGTTCTTTCTAAATATGTCAAATAGCTTTCAGCAAGAAGTAGTATTTTTCAGTGTAATTTCAGTAGAACAGCTTATTCCTTTTTTTAAAGCTCCTCTAAGACTTTCTCAGTACCCACCAATTTGTGCATTATCCAACATAATGAAATAACAGCATTGAAATGTATTACTCCATCAGATTAATGTCACATTTCAATGATTGACCCCCCCAAATATGACCTGTAGTGGAATGTCCCCGGAGAGAAATAAATTCTGTGCAGGCTCAGAGTCAGAGAAGGGTGGAGGAAAGGTGGTGACCAGAAAGCAGCAGGAATGCAGGTTTGGAGAAACATGTGTCCCCACAGCCTAGCCATTCTCCTTTTGTTGAGTTTCCTGCTAATATGCCTGGGAAGTGGCAGGTGATAGCACAAGTATTTGGATCCCTGCCTCCTAACTGGGAGAATCTGACTGGAGTTCTGGGCTCCTTACTTTGGCCTGGACTAGCCATGGTTGGTGTGGATATTGAGAAGGAAGCAGTCTGCCACTCTTCTTTTCAAGTGAAGAGATGAAAATTTGTAACAACAAAGTAAAATTTACAGAGGATTTTGTAAATAAAATGCTTACAATCATAGATTTGCTATAGATCTCAAGCCTCAATGATACATTTAAATTCTATTTTTATTACATTTATTAAGGGAAAATTATGTAAATCCATATTAAGGATAGTAAGGCATACTGTTCAGCAGATGACAGAGTGAATAACAGGTAGGACTTGCAGAGGGGAAGAGAGATTGAGTTCAGCAACACTGATCAGAACAAGATCACATTAGCTTTTATAACCGAGGAACAGGGGTGTGGATCAGTAGGTCAAAAATTAAGAAGAAACAAGAAAAGGGTTGCTGGCTGAATTGACTTGATGGAACCATTACTGAAGGCAGGCTAGGATGGTAGGAAAAGATATGAGCTCTTAGATAAGTTATAAGCTCTTACATGTGTCAAGTATGGTGCATGTTGTAACTAAAATATTCAGATTGAGAGTTAAAGAATAAAATTTTTAAGTTGGGATTGTTTATTCATTGAATATTTAAGAGGATTTTCATTTGAACAATAATGCATGGCATTTTAACAATCAGGTATTTCTATAAAACCTAATACCAAAATGCCCTAACATATTCTTCATCCCACTTTGTCTCTTCAAAGAAAAGCAACTATTAGCTCATTTTTTTTCCTTCACTGTGTCCTTCCATAAACATTACTGTAGTACTGCCTTTTTTTTAATGTATAGGATTAGTTACTATTTTTACATGATCACGCTCACTACCTGTTTCCTGGTTGTCTCAGTAAGGCAGTGCCCTGGTTATGTAATTTTGGTTACATCGGTATTCAGTCTTTAATTATGACTGTAACTGCCAGCTCCAGGTAGGGCTATGGTCCATTGTATTTTACCTTCCCTCCACAACTTCCTGTGTTCTTTGGAAGTCATCACTTTTATTTGCCTTGTTTATGTTATTTTGCTGTCTGGTGTTGTCGCCTTAATCTTTCAAAGTACTTGCTATTAGTTCCTTCCCAGATTCTCCTTTCAGTTCATCAGAAGTATCTGGCAGTCGTAGCAGCTGTAGCGTCTTAGAGATCACCTCCCACATTTTTGGCGGCTAGCTACATAGGCTATCTTGTTGGTCTTTTTACTAGAGGATTTCCTGCACTTCTCCCGCGGGCTGGTCGGTGTACCTCCTTGGTGTACTCTCTGTCTAGTGCAAGCGTCTCTTTCATTTTGCTCCCTCAGAAAAGATTGATGAGAGTTAAACTTTTCTATAACTGTTTTGTTTTTTCAAGAATCATTTTATTTTTATTGGAAAGTCCGATACACAGAGAGGAAGAGAGACAAAGAGGAAGATCTTCTGTCCATTGGTTCACTCCCCAAGTGGCCACAAAGGCTAGAGCTGAGCCAATCCAAAACCTGGAGCCCAGAGCCTCTTCCGCGTCACCCACACGGTGCAGGGTCCCAAGGCTTTGGGCCGCCCTCGACTGCTCTCTCAGGCCTCAAGCAGGGAGCTGGATGGGAAGCAGGGCTGCAGGGATTAGAACTGGCACCCTTATGGGATCCTGGCGTGTAAAAGGCAGGGACTTTAGCCACTAGACTACGCCACCAGACCCATTTTCTATAACTTTTTAAAGTGAAGGATCTTTGTGCTCCCCCTTACTCATTCTCAATTTGATTTGACTTTAAAACTTAAGCTGCAAGGGCCCGGTGGCGTGGCCTAGAGGCTTAAGTCCTTGCCTTGAAAGCGCCTGGATCCCATATGGGCGCCGGTTCTAATTCCGGCAGCCCCACTTCCCATCCAGCTCCCTGCTTGTGGCCTAGGAAAGCAGTCGAGCACTGCCCAAAGCCTTGGAACCCTGCACCCTTATGGGAGACCCGGAAGAGGTTCCTGGTTCCTGGCTTTGGATCGGCGCAGTACCGACCATTGTGCTCACTTGGGGAGTGAATCATTGGACGGAAGATCTTCCTCTCTGTATATCTGACTTTGTAATAAAAATAAATCTTAAAAAAAAAACTTAAGCTGCAAATAATTTTCAGAATTTTAGGTTCATTCTTCTATTGTTGCATACGGTTTTTAATTTTGAGTCTGTTTACTGTCCTGCAGCGATGGACTTGGTGCACGGAGCCGAAGGAATACATGCGGACTGCTAACTGATGATCAGTAGCTGAAGTTTATTAGTGCCATCAGGCTGTTATAGACTGAGGGTCATGTAGAATAACGGAGGAGACATTAAGGAACTTACCTAGTTCCCATAAGCCTTGTCTGAAAATACCTCTCTCTCTGTTTTGTATATCCAATCAGTTGTTCTGATGAGAATGATATCCAATCAAATGTCCTATACCTATCTAGGAATTATTATAATTATTATTATTATTATTATTATTTCGTGGTGGTAGTATGCGTTTTCTTTGTTTTTAGTCCTCTACAATTCCATGGCAGTTAATATTAGTGGGCTCAGATTCTAACCTAGGTGGTTGGAGTTTCTGCTACCCTGCTTTTCATCCCACCTTCACATGTACTCCAGGGGTTCCTAGTGTTGCTAGGACCCCAGCCTTGAAGGAGAGTTGTACAGTGCAAGAAAGACTACTTCTGTGTGCTGCCGCTCCTTGGCTCATGTTGGCTCTCTTGAGTCTGCTGAGTTCCTTTCAGCTACTGTGGTTTCCTTGCAGAATTTTCTTTCCTTTATTTTTGAGAGTGGCCATTGTTAAATATTCCTTTTCCTGTGACCTTTGAAAGGAATTTATGTAAAATCTTTGTTCATTCCTCTTTTTTTTTTTAACTTGAAGTTTGTTTTCGGTACTTCATTCTTTATATTTGATTTTTGCTACTTCAGCATTTAAAATAAGTATGCTACTTTGTTTTAACATAAATTTGAATCTGTATGTTTGAAGTCTAGTGGGAAACTTTTTACTTATGGTATATTATCCTTTTGAATACTTGAAAGTTTTACTTTAAGCATTCGGTCTAATTCTTGGAATTTCTTTTCGCAGGGTATTGCCGGCACGGATGTAGCTAAAGAAGCATCTGATATTATCCTCACAGATGACAACTTTACTAGCATTGTGAAAGCAGTCATGTGGGGAAGAAATGTCTATGACAGCATCTCCAAGTTCCTTCAGTTCCAGCTTACTGTGAATGTAGTGGCGGTCATTGTGGCTTTCACAGGCGCTTGTATTACTCAAGTAGGTGGCAATTTGCTTTTTAAAACTCGTTTATAGTAGAAATGCATCAGAACTGCCTTATATGATGAAATTTAATGTTTTAGATTAATTCATATAAACTGAACTCCTGTTCTGTCCCTGAAGTGTTTAAACCTTGAAGGCCTCCTGAGAATTGCTAAGTGCCTGAATAGCTATGAATGTCTATTAGGAAACATGTCTTTTCTAGGATTCGCCACTTAAGGCTGTACAGATGCTCTGGGTAAACCTCATAATGGATACGCTAGCTTCCCTGGCTCTGGCAACGGAACCACCCACTGAGTCTCTCCTGCTTCGGAAACCTTATGGTAGAAATAAGCCTCTCATCTCACGCACAATGATGAAGAATATCTTGGGTCATGCGTTCTATCAACTGGTAGTGGTCTTTACACTCTTATTTGCTGGTAAGAAATCAGTGTCTGATAAAGCTTCGGTATCTCTTCTGAGCTGTTCTTTTCCAAGATGTTTTTATACAAAATTGTTAAGACCCTGTGTTTGGTTACTGATTTCCCACTTTCTTTCCTTTTCCTTTCTGTATAATTTGTGACTTTGGGGAGGCATTGTGAGATGGACAGGGGGGAGAAATGAAGAGTTGATTCCTTACCCAGGCTCACCCACAAATTTGGATATGTAATCTTGAGTAAATTGCCATAGTTAGGAGGAGGGTTTTAGTTTTCCCTTTTATTTAAACAAGGCAGTTGTGTTAGATAATCCCAGGTTCCTGCCACTTTTATTATTATTATTATTATTATTATTATTATTATTATTATTATTTCATGCCAGATCAATTGGAGAATCTGGCAAACTTTTATTATTGAATACTTGAAATACTGTTGCTTTGTGTGGTAATTACAAAATAGTAATATTTTATTCTTGCAGGAGAAAAGTTTTTTGATATTGATAGTGGAAGAAATGCACCTTTGCATGCTCCTCCTTCGGAACATTATACAATTGTTTTTAATACCTTTGTGTTGATGCAACTTTTCAATGAGATAAATGCCCGCAAAATTCATGGTGAAAGGAATGTATTTGAAGGAATCTTTAATAATGCCATCTTCTGCACTATTGTTTTAGGCACTTTTGTGGTACAGGTGGGTAACTGGAAAAAGTAGTTTCAAATTTAAATATAACATGGCCTTTCCAGAAATTACTTGACAGTTGGGAAGGTGCTTGGGGGGCGGGGGTGGGAACAGCCAGTCTGGGAGGTTTCTCTATTTGATGATATATTTGTAGTTTCATGTTGATCTAAGATCCTGTTTAATGACTACTCGATCTCTGGTTTATTTAGAAGAAACTGAAGCCACATCTGAATAGATCATTTTATTTCTTTCAACTCTAAAATTCAAAGGTTCTTAGTTTTTGTGAAGCTAAATAAGGATATTACAAAGCTTATTAAATGATTGATACAATAGCTAAGTAGCTGCCAAAATTTGCAAATTTTAAAACTTACATTCCTTACAATATGAAAAAGGATAGAGCTTAAATTAAAAAAAAAAGTATGAATAATATAGACTTGTATTTTCATGGTTTACAAAAAAGCATTAATTCGGTTTTACACCTCTGTTTAAGTTCATTGCTGATTGCCAATCAGTTTTGTTCTGGTTGAAGGTTCTGATTGAATGACTGAGTGCTAGCTTGAGAACTGGCTGCTATGCTTCTAATCTAGCTTCCTGCTAATGTTTCTGAGAAAAGTAGTAGAAGATGGCCCCAATGCCTGGGTTCCTTCTGTTCACCTGGAGGCAAAGAATTACTGGCTCCTAGTGTTGGCCTGGCCCAGAGCTGGCTGTTAAAACAGGATGTAGAGTAAAAAACAGCTGCAAGATTCTGCTCCCTTTGTTGTCTTTCCCTCCTTTCTCTTTTCACCTTGCTCTCTCTCTGTTGCTCTTCCTTTTAAGTGAATAAATAAGCATCTCTTAAAAATTGAGATAAATGTACAACACTCTTGACTTTACAGTGGCATTTGCTGAGCTGTAGTTAGTTTGGAAAAATAAGGTATGACAGTCTGTTGCAGAATAGGATTACTATAAATGATAATTGTATGTTTCGGGAGCATTAGGCAGGATTTTTATGTTTTTATCCCAAAGATGATAAATGATTATGGAGACAGAAATTAACACTGATTTCAACATTATGTTTATCAAAGTATCACTTGTTATCCCATAAATGTGTGGGGTTTTTTTTTAAATTTATTTTTATTGCAAAGTCAGATATATATAGAGAGAGAGAGAAGGAGAGAAGGAGAAGATCTTCCATCCAGTGATTCACTCCCCAAGTGACCACAATGTCCAGTACTGAGCCAATCCAAAGCCAGGAGCCCAGAGCCTCTTCTGGTCTGCCATGTGGGTACAGGGTCCCACAGCTTTGGGCTGTCCTCTACTGCTTTCCCAGGCCTCAAGCAGGGAGCTGGATTGAAAGTGGGGCTGCCAGGATTAGAACTGGTGCCTATATGGAATCCTGGTGCATGCAAGGCAGGGACTTTAGCCGCTAAACTAGTATGCTGGGCCCTTGGCAGCTATTTATATCAAAGACTTGTTCAGCTCAGAATAGAGTGGTCATTCTCAACATTTCCTTGTGTAGCTTAGTGTCTTTGGGTATAAGTGAAACATAAGACCTGAGTTATGCCCTTTTAGTCCTTATGAGGAGAAGTGAGTATGAGAGCATGCCAACCAACCTAGCCTATATTGCATAAAACTTTGCAAGTTGCTCTTCTCTTACAGCCCATTCATAGCTATCTTAATGCCTAAATGTTAGATAGGAGTAAACAGCCATTAGAAAGAAGACTCGATTTCTGTCCACTATTCCATAAACTATGGTCTTTTTCATGAAACTGTACTGCCATTTGTGAAAGGCATAAATGATTGAGAGAATTATATTAAATGATAATTTAAAATATAGATACATGGTATCATATTTAAAACAGCATAGTTTTTTTATAAGCACAATTAAAGCTTGAAATGTTTATTTTACAACTTGATGCAGATATCTTTATTTCAATTGTGTATTGTGTTTCACTGGAATGGTGCTTATTCAGCTTGAGTTTGAGGGACATAAATTTGGGTATTTTTTAATTTAAGTGCTTGAATTTTGAAGATTTAAGGGCTTAAATAAATTTATTCTTGATTATTCCTCTAGATAATAATTGTGCAGTTTGGTGGAAAACCTTTCAGTTGTTCAGAACTTTCAATAGAACAGTGGCTATGGTCAATATTCCTAGGAATGGGAACGTTACTCTGGGGCCAGGTAAAACATCTCAGTTTTTGTTAAAACCTAAAATGATTTTTTTTTTAAGAAAAAAAATCTGGTGTGTACTTTGTTTAAGTGGTTTTGATACTTGATTCTAAATTGTTACCATTTGGTCAAGAAGGAAATTTAGGATACGATTTTTTGTTAAACGTGAAATTTGTTCTAGTATGCTCCTGCTTGTTATGAGGCCTTTGGAAAAAAGTACTGTTTTACTCTATTAAATAGTTCTTAACTTTTTTTTAGTACAAGTTTTATAGCAGTCATTAAAGATGTATCTATAATGTGTTAGGAAACTAATAGCTCTATTTTTATTTTGTGACCTGTATTTGCATTTTCAGGATAAAATCTTTATAACAGTATAAAAATGACATACATATTTATTTCCCTGTTTTGCTGTATAATCTATGATCAGATATAACATAGGAAAAGATCTTGTTTGATTTAGCAAATGTTTTCATAAATGTAATGCTATCTGAAAAAGCAGATTATGTAGACTGAACTGTATATAAAATGCAGTGCCTAAAAAGCGAGATATACCTCTTCTTTGCTGTAATCCGTCTTTGCCACTGTACGTCATTTTTTAAAGGGAAGTAAGTGGTGATGGCATGTGCAGTGTTTGTGTTGTGCATGTCACCACTACTGTAAGAATATATACTAACATTTTCATTAAGGAATGTGAACATGTTATGAAGTACAGCTTAATGTGAACCAGTTTATTGTCATTCTGCAAAGCACTTAAACCAAACTTCCAGGTTTTACTTTTTTTTTAATCTTAATTTTATGCCTTTTTTACTCACATTTTTTTCTGAATTTTTCTTCCTACTCAATTGAAGACCTCTCTAATAGAGGTCTTTTTAATAGGATCTGTACTGGGCCCATATTTCTTTTTTGATTATCCTTTTACATACCTGTTAATGTTCCTGATAGAACACAACCTCCGAAACATATTACTCATTTCAGGAAGAGGAAATGCACTACAGCGTACAGATCCAGTGTGGTGTGTTGATCATAGAAGGATTACTTGATTTGGTGGCCAGCAAAACAGGTTTTACTTACTCCGTATGGAGATTTTTTTTTTTACACCTCTCTGAATTGTGATTGGACTACAAGTGTTCCGTGCAGTTTTTCTCAGACAATGAGCTGGTTTTCCCCTAATAAATGGCTTTCCTTAGGGGATGGCTGTTAACACTAACATATAATTTATTGATTTTTTTTTTACCCTTAATTTTTGGGGGTTTATGTTGCTATTAGATGTTACTCAGTTTTAAAACTTTTATTTTTAAATGTAGTAAAATTATTCTAAAGATAAAGTAGAATTTATTTAGTCTTCATGCTTTTTCCTAATTGAATTTTTACAGCACTAACAAAATACAAAATTGTTCTGCAGTTCAGTGGTTCCACTTGCCATTTTCACGTATTTGAAGTAGAATTTGTATAAATATGTTTATCAAAACATAGTTGCATTTATTGCCTTGGGTGTTCTAACTAAAATGAAATTATAATCAAATTAATTTCTATCCAGGGAAACTGCCTACCCCTACAACTTGAATCTTGTGTAGCTAAAAGAATATTTTTTATCTTGAGAGAGAAATTGAGAAAGATTTCACAGTTTCCTTGACAAATAAAGGTAGTTGGATATGTTCACAGCTTTTAATACCATCAGTATAAAATAAAAGTTGGTCAGTTTAATCACGTAGTATGATTTGTCTCTTAAGTTCTTTCCCCTGTGTTGTAGCTTATTTCAACAATTCCTACTAGCCGTTTAAAGTTCCTAAAAGAGGCTGGTCATGGAACACAGAAGGAAGAAATACCCGAGGAAGAATTAGCAGAAGATGTGGAAGAAATTGATCATGCTGAAAGAGAGTTGCGGCGTGGCCAGATCTTGTGGTTTAGAGGTCTGAACAGAATTCAGACACAGGTATGGGCCTGGTAAACAGGTAGGAGAAAGCATGGGCAAAGGGCTTTTTGGCCTGGGAGGTGGTTTGTGTGTGATCCTTAACTTCCTTTCTAGCCTCCCCAACCCATAAAATTTATTCTTTTTGGAAAATAGTACTGATGTCTGGAATGAATGAAGCTTTTAACTTATTATGAAAGAATGTGCTATATGCCCTAAGCTCTTTTTTTTTCCTAGCTACCCCTACCCCACCATCTCAAAAATCCTATTTATCTGCTGTATAGAAAGTGCCTTTTTCTTTACTTTTTATATGTTGGTAGATGGAATGGTCCTTTCTCTTGTTCTCTCTCTCCTCTCTCTCTCTTGCTGAGCAAGCTGTCACAATCTCTGATTCCTTGCAGATGGATGTAGTGAATGCTTTCCAGAGTGGAAGTTCCATTCAGGGGGCTCTAAGGCGGCAACCCTCCATCGCCAGCCAGCATCATGATGTAACAAATATTTCTACCCCTACACATGTAGTGTTTTCCTCTTCTACTGCTTCTACTACTGTGGGGTGTGAGTGTGTGTTCCTAAGTGCATGAAATTAACATTTCCTACTTCACACACCTAACGTTTCTCATTTTCTCCTTAATGTTTAAATTCATTGTTCAGGCTTTTCATAAAGCTTTCTTTTCGTAAAGTGGATTGAGATCTCAAAGTGTTGTCGTTGTTGTTTGTTTTATTTCTTAGAGGGTTAGAGAACAGGTGGAACAATTGCAAGCAAAGATTAAATATGAAATCTGTGAACTTGTTTCTCTACTAAACTCTTCTAGTTAATATGGGGAATAAATTGTAGCTTAGAGTTTTTGAAACTACTATAAATTTTTGAGTATATGCCTTTAATATGTTTATATTGCATGATTCCTGAAGCGTATGATTTGCAACTAAGCTAACAGACCCAGGAAGTTCCACTTTTAAAGATAAAGTTAATTTAGCATTTGATTTCTTACCTTGTCCAGTTTGGAAAGTTAAGTTTTAAGAAAAGTACTCAGTATGCGTAGCCGGTTGGCTTGCTGTTTTGATGTGAACTTGCTTTGCTTTGTTTTGTTTCTGGTGTTTAGTTGTTTGGGTCTTCTGGAGGGTCCCCAGATAAACTTAAATTCTGTTGTATATGAAACTCTGTCTTAAACATTTGTATGCAGTTTAACTTAAAATTGCATCATTGGGAAGAAATGTTCTTAGTTTTAAAGTAGGAAAAATGTATTGGTTACTGAACTGTGAAAGCTATAGTTCCCATGAGTTAACTGGATTAATTCATTTCAGGTTTTTAGTAAATGGCACACTCCATAAACTCCTTATCAATAATTAAGGTCGTTTTAATTCCTGAAACACATAAGGTTACCCTTGCATTGGACCTATCTTTTCCAGTTGATCTGAAGCTATTTAAGCACTGGAAAAGCCTTTTAGGGTAGAGAAAGAGCAGATGAAGGGAGAAAATAGTGCAGATTGCTATTCAGTGCCTTTTTTTTTTTTTACTGTCTAATCCATTTTTATTTGGTATGTGTAACATAGTTATGAAACATGCAGAACAGAAATTCTCCCCGTTTGATAGGCTTGAAAAATGACTTGGAATTCAAGAGACTTTTCCCTGCTAATAAGCAGATGCAACATCTTATAAAGTGAAGAGCAGACAGATGCTCAAAGGACAGACTGGTACTGCAACATTGGGATGTTAAATTTATGTGCATGCTTAGATAGGAATCTGGGTTTGAAAAAACTGCCTACTCAAATGAATGTATATGGTAAATCACCTGGCTGTCTGCCTGGTAAAATATCAATTGCATCCCTCCCTTCCTGTGTCTGTGACGCGTGTGTGTGTCTGGCTTCTGACCTCCCATCCTTGGGAGGAGGAAAGGTATATACTTTGAAGGAGTGGCAGACAGGACCATGGTGCTTGCTTTAGCAAGGTTTAAGGTGTTTACTGCTTTATTCTGTATCTGACATAAGATGATGATCAGTTCTAGTTAATGAGGATTAATGAATAAGAAGGCATTTACTGTGAGACTTGTTTACACCTTAAACTTTCTTTAAATTTGCTAATGGAGCATTGTCCAAGAGAGCCTAAGACATCAGCCAGTACACAGAATTAGAGGCTTAATATGCTCAATGAAAGGTTTAATTTCCTTGCAGTTGTTACTGCGCTAAATAGTCTTAGAAATAATTGTATTCCATTTATGTGCCTCTTACTTGGAATCCTTGCTTTACTAAATAAATGAACAATAACCCAGTTCCATTTTGTCAGATACTAAACTGGAAATATCTTTGAAAATATCATCTTTTTTCCTTCATTTATTAGTCAGTTCTTAAGTTTCCTACAGAAAAAAAAAGTTTAGTTTCTCTGTTCTTACAAAGTACTATTCTAATATGTCTTCCCTTTTAGATTTCATTAGCTAAGTAGGTAACTAAGCCTCCCTGGGAAGGAGAAATGGAAAGAAAATTTGTCCTTCCAGGCAGACTGCAGCTTATGCCCCAATCTGAAAATCTGTCCTTTTGACCAAGGTTGGTTTTTTGTTTTTTTTTTTTGTTTTTTTTTTTTTGAGATATATTTTTATTGGAAAGGTAGGTTTACAGAGAGAAGAAAATACATAAAGAAATGATCTTCTGGGCCAGGCACAATAGCCTGGTGGCTAAATCCTCACCTTGCATGCCCAGGATTCCATGTGGGCACTGGTTTGTGTTCCAACTGTTCCACTTCGCATCCAGAACCCTGCTTATGGCCTGGGAAAGCAGTGGAGATGGCCCCAAACCTTTAGAATTTGCACCCACTTGGGAGACCCGGAAGAAGCTCCTGGCTCTCAGATTAACTCAGCCCCAGCTTTTACATCTACCTGAGGGTGGACTGTCTCCTCTCTATAAATCTGCCTTTACAATATAAATAAGAGAGATGATCTTCCATCCACTGCTTCATACCCCAAATATTCACAACAGCTGGAGCTAAACCAATCCAAATCCAAGAGGCAGGAATCCCTTCTGGGTCTCCCAAGCAGATACAGGATCCCAAGGCTTTGGGTCATCCTCTACTACTTTCCCAGGCTGCAGGCAGGGAGTAAGATGGTTAAGTGGAGCATCTGGGACATGAACCTGCACCCCTATGGGATGCCAGTGCTTGGAGGTGGGAGATTAACTAGTGGAGCTGTCACACCAGCCCCTTGCCCAAGCTTTAATGTTTATTGGGAAATGCTGTGTTTATTCATTTAAGTGTTATATGCCATATTTTTTCCACTCTGAGGACAGAGTTAAGTTCATTGCTCCAGTAGCTCACACAATTAAGAAATAAATTTATTTTGAAGAATATTAAAGGATGTAGATAGTGGCTGCTGCACTGCTCAACAGGCTAATCCTTCACCTTGCAGTGGTGGCATACCATATTTAGTCCAGGCTGCTCCACTTCCACCCCTGCTCCCTACTTATATCCTGGGAAGGCAGCAGAAGATAGCTCAAGTTCTTGGAGTCCTGCACTCTTGTAGGAAACACAGAAGAAGCCTGGATTCCAGCTGCTTGGCTCCAGCCAGTGTAACCATTTGGGGCGGGCCGGGGGTGGGTGGTGAGTCAGTGGGTGGAAGATTCTCTCTCTCTCTCTCTCTCTCTGCTCTGTAAATCTGCCTTTGAAAGGAGAGATGCATAGGATGAAGTATAGAAGTAAGGATATGGAACTCCCATTGCTTCGTGCAGTACTTTTTCTATTTTCCTTCTGAACAACTATTTTTTCGTGAAGGAACTGCTGAAATTTTCTTCATTTTAGTGGATGGTTTTGTGCATAATAGGTCTCAGTGTTATAAGGAATTAAAAGTTAGATCGGGCCTGGCGCTGTGGCCAGGTAGCTAAAGTGCTTGCCTTAAATATGCCAGGATCCCATATGGGCGACAGTTCTAATCCCTGCAGCTCCGCGTCCCATCCAGCTCCCTGCTTGCATCCTGGAAAAGCAGTCAGGGACAGACCAAAGCCTTGGGACCCTACACCTACATGGGAGACCCAGAAGAAGCTACTGGCTCCTGGCTTCGGGTGCCGTTGCGCTCACTTGGGGAGTGAATCATCGGTGGGATGATCCTCCTCTCTGTCTCTCCTCCTCTCTCTATATCTGACTTTGCAATAAAGATAAATAAATCTTTTTTTAAAAGTTAGATAATAGGTCTGGATTGTTAAAAAAAATAAGTACAATTTTTTCTGGTGCTTCTTATTAAATGTGAATTCTTTTGGCACGCTTACCTGAAGTGTAGTGTTCATATTCTCTTTTGTTTTTTGTACTTCGAGAATTTTACCCATACACTGTCAGAGTTCACAACAAATACACACCAGTTCATTATTGTGCCTTGAATCAAAAACTTTGCTATTGTCATTGTCTGTAAGTAGAAGCTAAAATCTATAGATTTTATTGTTTGTATCTAATTTAAAGACTCTTCTTTAAAATGTATGTTGCTTGGGAGCATTGTAGGCTGCCCCTTTGCCTGTGGTTTTTAGCAACTAACCATGGTCATGTACTTATGTAGAAAGGCAGAGGAAAGAAGTGGTAACTTCGGTCTCACCAGATGTGTTCTGGTGCAGTTAGCCATGAAGTAAAATCTGTCTCTCTGTCTGACCTCCAAGGAATGTAGAGTCGGGAGTCCAACCTCCTGGGTTCGATGACACTTACTGTCCCTCCATCTCCTCAGTTGCCTGGTTTTGTCATGTATGAAGTGGTTAGAATTAAGATTCTAGTCCTTACAGTAAAGTTTCAGATGAAAGAATATCTAGCCAAAGTTGAAGTTTTAGTAAGCGAAAAGCTTGTTACCTGATTTCCCAACTCAAGTTTGTTTGTGTATGTATGTGCATGCATAAAACACACAGACCTGCTGCTCTGGCTGCGTGTTTGCTTTCCCCCTCCTGCAGCTCTGCTGGTTCCCACACCTCCAGCAGAAGCCTTTAGCTTCCTTCTGAACTCTAAATATCTTTCAAATATAATGTGTGAAGAAAATGGATGTGTTTGACTTTTCACCATTCCCTTCTCTACTAGGGCTGGTTGAAAAAAAAAAAAAAAGCTTCAGGATCAACCTGAGCAGCTTCCATCCATTTGACTGCCTGATACTCCCATTTATACTCATTTCATACCTTTCTCTACTGACCGTTATCAAAGCAGTTATCTTTCTGTTTTTAAAGTATGAGATAGTCTGCATACTTGCTAAATGTTCACATATATTAAATACAATATTCCAGGCTTCATAATACAGCACTAGGGATAATTTGCTAATGTCCCATGTCTAAGATCTTACTAAAGGGATAGAAAGGGGTAAGAAATAGTTGAAGTGATAGTAGTTGGATCCCTGGGACCACAGAAGAAGCCAGGATTGAGTTTCCAGCTTCTGGCTTCAGCCTAGCACAGGTGTGGCCTTTGCAGGCGTTTTTGGAGACTCAACCAGCTCCTCTTCCAATGGGGGGAAAAAATGTTCACTTTCAGGCCCTGCTGAATCAGAATGCACATTTTTGACACAATCCCAAGTTACTTCATTTGCCCATTAGTGTCTGGGTGGTGCCAGTATTGACGCCTGAGCCAGCACTGCTCTAAAACTGCAAGGTTCTCATTTAATCTCCCAAGACAGTACAGTAAAGAAGATCATATTGCCATTTTCTCATTTTATGTTCGAGGAACCTTTGTTTAACCAGGATTTCTCTGTCTGTAAGGGGTGCAGTCAGAATTCTCTCAGGTGTTTTAACTCTGTCTACTTTAACTGCTGTATTGACCATATAAAGGCCTGAATGACTGTGGACTAACACAGGACTTAGTAAATGAGAGAAGATACTTTTGGGGGGGGAGGTGAAGTTATAAGCAAAAGTGGGCACATAGCCCTGTATTTCATGTTTGAAAAACATACTTTTAGATGACCATCTGCTCTAATTTATCAATTTATTCAACATTATTTGTTTGATGATTTTAGTTGCCACACCTTTTTTTCGAGAATGTGAAAGTGCTAGCCCTAAACAAGATTAAATGATGTCTTTATTATTAAATAAAGTGCATTTGAACCTTAACAAAAACCCATTTTTAATTGATCCATAGTAAGTAATCAGCTATTATTATTTTTTTTTCTGGGTATAATTGAATTAGTGGGACCTGATCTCTTTGACCAATAATGTAGAGTTTGATGGTCCACTAAGCTTTGACTCATACAGCAGACTTCCAAGAATATGGAGTGAAATTTTTAGAAAACTTTAAAACATTGTTCTCTTTATAGAGAAATGTTTCATAATAGAATCCTAGAAAATGCCTTTGGTTTAGTTTTTGTCTGTTTCCCAACAGTTACAGACTACAGTAATTAATTTGTTTTAATATATCATATAGGGAAAAAAAACACTAACACTTCATAGATAAATGGCATATACTCAAATTTTTATAGCTGTTTAATGGCATTTTATAGATATTAATTTGGGTTTTGTCTTTAGTTTTTAAGGGACTAGCGGGTAGATGTGAGTTCATTGTGGCACTTGGCTTATATTTGCTTGGCTTTTTCATAGTCGGTGATACCCTAATTCCTAGCATGATGAAACAATAACCCTTTGTGCTTGACTTTGTTATCTTATTTGAAATGTTTTCAAAATGCATTCTTTTTAATTTAAAAAATTCAACTAAGCTTGTGTATGGTTTTTTGTTTTGTTTTGTTTGCTTTTGTTTGGTTTTGTTTTCTTAGGGAAAAAATCCCATAAAATGGCTATCAAATATTTAGCCAGTGACAATGAGGTTTTCTAGTATTATTTTGAATTCTAATACCTCTTAAATCATAGAGTATGTGGTCTTGTTGTTCTGTAGTGTCCTACTAAAATATTCATTTTTTTACAGTGTATTGCAAGTTCCACTGCATTACATGCAAATATGATTCACTCATACCTAGCTGTTTGTGGATTCAGACTCATAAATGAACCATTTATGTGTTATGTTAATGGTGTACTGACATCCTTTTGTGTTTTCTGATATTACAGATTCGAGTGGTGAATGCATTTCGTAGTTCTTTATATGAAGGGTTAGAAAAACCAGAATCAAGAAGTTCAATTCACAACTTTATGACACATCCTGAGTTTAGGATAGAAGATTCAGAGCCTCATATCCCCCTTATTGATGATACCGATGCTGAAGATGATGCTCCTACAAAACGTAACTCCAGTCCTCCGCCCTCTCCCAACAAAAATAACAATGCTGTTGACAGCGGAATTCACCTTACAATAGAAATGAACAAGTCTGCTACCTCTTCATCCCCAGGAAGCCCACTACATAGTTTGGAAACATCACTCTGATTGTAAGCTGAATGTTAACACACTAGCTGCATTGTAAAGAAACAAATTGAAACTGGGTCTTTTCACATTATTGTGACGGACAAGATGGCGTTCTTGTCCTAGGACTTCAACAGAAGACACACTTGTACGAATGTAGATTTATTTTTTTAAAAAACAAAAAAGCAAAGCTTTCTGCCAGACTGAGGGTGCTTTTTGGGGGGTGGGAGAAATGAACTGACAGATAAACAGTAACTCAGCGTAAGAGACCCGTGGATCACCAGTAGTACCCAAGAATGGTCCTGAAGAGTGGACTGAGCAGAGCTGTAGTCTCAGTCCTTGATGGGAGGGGGAGGAGTAAAGCTGGGCAAGACAAAGAGCCCGGGATCATTGAATTGATATTTTAATTTCTGCTCTTGGCTGTTAATAATTTGGATTATTTATGTTTATAAATGATACAGATCTGTTTACAAGGTTTGTAGATACTTTCTGTTCCTGTTCATAGATGGGAAGCTTCCTTATAACTGATGCAGAGAAAAATTAGTCCTTCAAATACTGCTGTATTTTCAGGAAAAAAAAGGGGTGTTTCTATTGAAACTGTACTAAATTTTTGCCTACAATTTACCTTGTTAAATATTGTAGATAAATTGCTAATACTAATAGCCAAATAGATAACACTAATGCTTTGTTTAAAAAAAAAACAAACAAAAAAACCAAAAGAAACAAAAAAATATGAGCAGTGGTGTTCTAATGAAGTTATGGCATCTGTCCTAATTAGTTTCTTAAATACATTTACTACTTAATGGTTTTGAAACAACTGTTTAATTTTTAAAATTTTTGAAAACTTGCTAATAACCTTTTGTTCAGAATTTAGTAGATTGTTTAATGCAGGACATCAACTACATAATGAAAGATGCTTGAAATGCTTTTGTTATTTCAGGCAAATCAAATTAAATCAAACTATCAAACAACGAGAGAACCTTAGTCCTCCTTGTTTTTGTCTAAACGTGTTAGTTAGTGATGTCTTGGTGAACTGTGAGTGACCTGTGTTGATTTTTTTCTAATAAATCCTTAGAGACCTTCGCACAACATGGGGGCTGTTGGCATTTTGAAAAAGGTTAATAGGTGGAAGCAGACATGTTTTCCTTCTGTTTTCAAAACTTGTTTGTAAACATAAATAAATATGCCCTTTTATTAAATTCACAACAATCTTTTTTAAGACATTTCAGCTTCTTTACTCAGTTCTGCATATATATAGTGTATCCGCCTGTTGTTCTCTCACCGCAGCTGGAATAAATTTCAAGATGATAATAGCCCCATGAAATAATGCTTTAATTCCTTGGTGGAAGTCTAATAGCATCATATTAAGACAATTTTCCCATGTGACATATTCTTCATAGAATTTAGTTTGTCTAAAATAGTCTCACAGTTTCAAAAATTAATGACCACCATTGTCTATGAAACATCTGTTTGATTCTTAAGTGGCCAAATGACGGATTATAGAAAAAATGAGATTATACCAAAAAGGTGGAAAAGCGTCTACAACGATTGCTTTAGATGTAGAAATTAACCATATGCTGGAATGTCCATCACTAAGCCAGTTGAATTCTTTAGCTCTTCATGTCTTTCTTTTGTCTACCTTCTCTCTTTTTTGCCTCTTGTCTTTACCCTTCAGAAAGTGGCATTGTGTAAGGGTCCAGATTCCGCCATGTACACGCATCTCAGGCTGACCTGAAGTGTATGAGGACTGCTACATCTGAGAGTGCTGACCCAGCAAAGAAACATTTAGATGATGGTGCTTGATATTTTTGGTGGGTGGGGGAAATCTTTTCTCTCCATCAATCTTTTGCAGTAATCTTCTGGCAAGTCTTAGAAACACATCGGCTCTGTCAGCATTTTTAACTGTACATTATTAATTCATCAGGTATTTATAGCAAATCATACTGTAAAAAGGGGGGTAGCATGATATGCTAGAAAGCATAGTAGACCAGGAGTCTAGACCTGCTTTCTAGTCTTGGTTTTACCATTAATGTGCTGCATGATCTTGAGGAATATCATTTACACTGAATGAGGGTGGTGGACTAGACTCTATTTTGAAGAACCTTTCAACTCAAAAAATTGACCCTATCAACTGGAGAAGCCTACAAGGCATAGGGAATTGAGAAAAGGGAAATGCTTAAAAACTTTTTTTTTGTTTTGGTTATGCTTAAATATGAATGTAATTACCAAACGATTTAGAAGTGCATGTGCTTCAGAGGGTTTGTATTGAGCTTTTACAGTATTCATTTTTCAACTCAAGGCAATGGCTTTTTACACCGACTCTTAGGACATCCATGAAAGTAGTAGCAAGACATGCTTAGTGTGTAATACTCTCTTTGAGACACTGTAATTTCTACCAGAAATTTCCAGAGCATTATGTAACTAGAAAAAAAAATGCAAGCAAGCTGTTAAAGATCTCGGATCCCGTTATATAGTATGTATAGCTGAAATCAGCATCTGTAATTCAATCACGTTTTCTCTTTTATCCTCTAACCAAAAAAAAAATTGTTTAATTTTGCATCCCAAATGTTTTTAATCTTTGTATATTTTTTAAAAATCCTTTTCTCCTCATCATTGCCTTTTTTGTGGTTGTAAATAGACTTACTTGCACTTTGAAGATGAGTTACTCCTTGTCATCTTACAAATATGTGATATGGTAATTTTCATAACATGTCAGTTTTGAACCAAGAAATGGTGATTTGTTTATAAGAAAAAAAACTGGCTTCATTTCTGTGAAATTGCTCTTTGAAAATTTCTTTTTACATGTGTAAGCCAACTGAGATACCGTGATGGTGTTGATTTCTTTCAATGATGCTTACCATCTATTTTAGCCACTGAGCCTTTTATTATTTGTCTATTTGTAAAGTTTATTTGTCTTAACTCATTTAATAAATATACTGGTTATCTGTTTCTGAATGGGGACTGAACTTTTTGAATAATGAAGTTGATTTGAACATATTTTGGAATTTTTTTCTACTTGAAATTTTTAAAAGCTAATTGATGAAAATCCTGTAATGTACTTGAAATGCTGTGGTTGTATTGCAGTGAATCAGTGTTCTGATATGCATGGTCTTGCCTCTGAAATGCAAGTGGGCACATTGTCCCTACCCTCTTACCCACAGCTTTAGTCCTTGTAGCATAATAGACCATTTCTGCAATCCATGGGAGTGTACTGTTTTTGTGTTAAACCAGGCTAGTTTAACTGTTGGAGCTTATTTTTTAATTAAATAATCCAGACTTCTCAATAGCAATTATTGGAACTCTGAAAAAAATAAACTTACCCATAATTGGTTTTTATGTTACTAACATGAATTAGCAAATTTGTTGAAATACTGAGTAAACTTTAGTTATGTATACCATAGTCTTGGTTGGTATAAATTGTTGGTACATTGCTGGGTGTATTTAAGTACCATATTTATGACATGAAAAATATTTTCCATCTTGTTAAATTGGGTTTTATATATGTATCATGTGTTAGAATTGAATTTGAACTAGGTTTTCTGTCTGAAGTTCATTGAATGGGAAAGTGGAGTTTCTTTGAGCCTTTCATTGTAAGCGTTTTCCTTACTCATGCCTTTGGAGAAGTCAGGGCTTATTGCAGAGGTGTGTGTGTGTGTGTGTGTGTGTGTGTGTGTGTGTGTGTGTGTGTGTGTGTGTGTGTGTGTGTGTGTGTGTGTGTGTGTGTATCTGTATTTTCATCCACTTAAAAGGCAGAGCAACAGAGAGAAAGAAACTTCATCCCCTGCAATAGCCAGGACTGGGCCAGGCCAAAGCCAGGAACCTGGAACTTTTTCTGGGTCTCCCACATGGGTGGCAGGGGTCCAAGCATTTGAGCCACTTTCTGCCGCTTAGGAAACTGGACGGGAAAGAGAGACTCAGTCCAGCACTCCCAGTGTTAGAGGTGGGCTGTCTGGGTGGCTTCTCAACCTGTTAGGCCACAACACACATCCTTCTTTTTGTGTTTTATTAAGATTTTCTTGCTCATCCCATATTAATCTTCATCTTTTAAAAATTAAATTACACTCTTACAGACCAAAAAAAGAAAGATACCCTCGTTAGCATAGTTATACTGCCTTGCTAAAAAAAAAAAATCGTCTTAACCTTTTTAAGAGTTTCTTCTGATAAAGTCAGCAGTTGTGTCTTTGTAGTTCTCTCATCAGTATGTGTGGAGAAGGAATTTGTTCACCCAATTAATTTTCTTTTCAGTAGATTGATAATTTTACCCTGTATACAGTTTCAAATGAGTTTATGCTTTTGATCTTAAAGCCATTTTTTATATTTTCCCTATTTATTTAAAACATACTAAAATCTGTAGATGAATATATCAAATGTAGGCATATATAGTCTGTCCTGACTTTAAGATGTCATCACTGAACAACATAATGTTTCAAATTAGGGAGTTAGGCATATGTGCTTATACAGTTCTGGTCTCTCTGGATCAATTTTTTAAATTTTTGTTTTAAAGATTTATTTTAATTGGAATAGCAGATTTACAGAGAGAAGGAGAGACAGAGAAAAAGATCTTCTGTCTGCTGGTTCACTCCCCAAGTGGCTGCAACAGCTGAGCCAGGAGCAGCTTCCTGGTCCCCCAATGCAGGTGCAGGGTCCCAAGGCTTTGGGCCACTTACTGCTTTCCCAGACCACAAGCAGGGAGCTGGATGGGAAGTGGGGCCGCTGGGATTAAAACCGGCACACATGTGGATTCACGCTCTACAAGAACCCCAGCTCTACAAGAACATAAACCAGGGCTCAGCTTAGAAAATTCTAAGCATAGCTCTTTTTTTTTTTTTTCATTTTTTTATTACTGATAACATAGCATAGCTCTTTAATATTCTCTTTATCTTAGTCTATTTCTAATAATAAGTGTTTCAAAGACACTCTTAAAATCTTTTTATGCTTCCCAGAAGATAAAAGTCTCAAATAATTGATTAATTTGTGTAGTTCACCTTTTCTCACAGACTTCTAGCTGAAAAAGTTAAATTCATAGTCGTGCTTTATAGCTATCCAAGAAGAGGGCGTGTGTTCAGTTTTCATGACTAGCCTATTTAACAGCATTGTTTTATTTACTAAAATTAGAATGGGATTTATTCTATTAATGAAATAATCTGCACTGTTCTGTGACTTTTTGTAATTTTTGTGATTTGATTTTTTTTTTTTGGCAAGAAATACCTAAAGAATAAAGTACTTTACTTAAAATATTTTTTTGAGGACGAGGAACTTTGTTCTCGTAATTTCCTTGATGGAGATTCTTAATGCTCTAGTCTTTAGCCCAAGGCAGTAACTACTACACATCAGTTTGATGTGAATTTTTAAAGTGAGAATAATTTTAACTTTTTCACTCCAATATTTGTGGTTTGTAGACAGTCAATAGGTCATCCCCCTGATGCTAATTTTTATAATTGTCAAAATCTTGTTAGAGTGTTTCAAGGCCTTTTCAGTAAAACTGCTTTTGGAATCATAAATATTTAACCTAGTATGTATCTTAATGAATAGCCTGAGAATGAAGAAAGAAAAAAAGCTCAGGGAAGGAAGCCAGTGGTGTCTGAAGTTAAAAATTTAAATTGGGGTACTCTTTAATAATTCTAAATGTTTAAATCTACTCTTTAAAATTCTCATTCAGTTAGCTTCTGTTTCTCTGAGACAGATCAATTTGTAACATAGCCTTAGTCTTATTCTCTGCCACAGACTTACCATAAATAGGTCTCAACCTCCAGAAAGTGGTAAGAGGTGTGGATATGACAGTGAAGCCACACCAACTTTTAGCAGAGACCTGAAAAATGTAAGACTCGACCACTTGCCTGAAAAGAGCGTTCCAGCCGAAGTTTCAGTTGGTGATGGTTGGCAGGTTTGGGGAACAGCAAGGAGCCTGAGGGTGCTGCGGTGGGGTCAGTCTGGGTAGTGAAAGGAGAGGAAGAGGCTTTGTGGGCAACCAGTCTCTTGGTTTGCCCACTTACTGATTTTAACTGACTGCCTCTTGACCAAGATGCTTGAGCTGTGGTGCCCTCTTGCCAAACAAGATGGCCTTGCCTCCTTGGGGTTCCACTGTGTTAGCACCTAAACTTGAACCACCCTCAACTTCATCCCTCTCCTCAGTAGTAGGGTATGCTCACGTTCTTTTCCTAGGAACCAAAATCAGCATTCTTTCCTGGTTTTCCTTATGTATGCCCAAACACTCCAGTCTGCCTTCAGTTGGGTTTATTTCAAACCTTTATGTCTCCCTCAGACCTAGGGTTCAAGACCTGGTGTACCTGCTGTTAACCAGTTTTTTCACGTTTTGCCACAACTGTTTCTTCCTTGACATTTGTTACTGGTTTTAGGTTCCTAAAAGCAGGATTTTAAAAGTGTCTCTATTAAACTATTGTTGTCGCTCAATTTATTGGACTCCTGACTCTGTCATCTAGTGTATTCTCAACCCTTCTCAGCTTGGTACTGTTTGTGACAGCTTTTCTTCTACTTTGTTTAAATAACTGATTCATGACAGGCCTTGAAAGACATGCACAAGCCACATTGCCTCACTTTCCAAAGTCAGTGCCAGGATGTTATTTAATTCAACCAGTAAGGGTCATTAATTAAATGTGCCATCATCCTAAACATAAAACACCCATCAGCTTCCAAAGTAGAGAATACCTTGTTGAAATGCTGTTAATTACATCTGTTTGGCTACAAATACTTCTTCCTTGGTTTCAATTATCTTTAGTCTCTTTTCACTCTTTTTACTGTAGCCTATTTCCTCTATTTTGGGATTGTACAATGAAGTTTCCTAATTCTGTCCATACACGTAATGCCTCATTAATCCATCCAAAATCTTCCTAAAACACCACTCTGCCCACATCATCCTTCCAGAAATTAGCTAAGCGGGTACCCGCAAGAGCTTTGAATGGCTTCTTACTGTCTCTTTAACCTCACTCAGTTGTCGGCTGCTGGGAACGTGTGTCCTCCATTGTTCTCTTCTGTAAGTCTCTCCTTAAGCTCCCCATGCTCCCGCCCCTTAGGGGTCATGCCTTGTCACCTCCTGTCCTTCCTTAGCAGAACACTAGTAAGGAAGACCTGCTTAAGAGTACTTTTGTTCAGAGGAAAGTCATCCTTTGGCAGAGGGTGCTAGGAGCCAGAGTGGATCTGAGAGACAGAGTACGCCACAATGTTGTGTATGAAGAGCATGCACGTGGCAGTCAGCAGACTTGGTTTCTGGTCCCACTGTGTCTTGAACCAACTCGCAGTACCTGGACCAAATCATTCTGATGTTTGCTCTTTATGATTTAGTTGAAAGAAGCATTGGGAACCACAATGCTGAACACAGAGTGTTAACGAACATAAAACGTAATAATTTAGTAAAAAAAAAAAAAAATCACCTCACATTGTTATGTTTCAGAAATTCTATTTACTTGATGAAAATGCCTTCTTAAAACCAAGTTGTCTACTTCACGAGTTAGTGTTAGGGTGGGTACTTGGCTTAGCAGTTAAGCTGCTGTTTGAGACATTGATATCCCAGGTTGGAGTGCTTTGCTTGTAGTCCCAGCTCCGCTCTTGGTTCCAGCTTCCTGCTAATGCACACTTGGGGAAACAACAAAAGGCTCCCTGACTGAGCTGGCAGCCCCAGCCTGAGTTCCTGGCTCCCTGCTTGTCTGGCCCCGAGTGTTGACGGCATTTGGCCGTCTCCACCTGGGCGCTCTGCTCTTCTCTCTCTGCTTGGCTGTCTGCCTCTTTCATAAAACAAGATCATCGGTGGTAAGAAAGAACTTACAGAGGTACGTTAAAAAGGTTTTTGGAAAAGTGGAATCAAATGGTAAGTTTATTTTTGCACAAAAACATTGAAATCTGTGCATAGTTCTCATAGTACATGTTTTCCATGCATTTTTAATAAATGCGTAATTTTGGGATTTTTTGGCACCAAGATAATTCCATTTATCTGAACCTTTTGAAACACTTGTAGATCATTGTATTAAGGTCAGGGTTTGTTTTTAATGTATTGTCATTTAAAACATGAGATGTATATTTTTGTGGAAATTTGCCTACTTAATGCAGAATCCTCTGTCATTTGTTTATAAGAAGACCAATTTAAAATCCATTGGTTTGAGAAGAAAAATGAAAGGATTTCAAAGGTCAATGAAAGCTTACTTGTTTTTAGAATTTTAGTCTACATAAAAATGCAATCTCAAAAGCAAACAAAAATGCTATATTATAAATGTACTTCAAGCATATTATGCTTTTTTTGCATGGTTGGAAATAGACAGCATGTATACTTTGACAGCAAAATGTCCAA